AAACCCCAAAAAAAAAAAAAAAAAAAAAGATGGCCTGCCTCGCCGGCAGCCATGGCCGAATCCAGCGCGAATGCGCAACCCTCTCGCAACGGCTGTGCAAACACACAGCACATTTGCCTTTTGTAATGTGAGCCGTGTCGTGTGCAACGTGTTCCGAGACATGTGAGTTTTGCAGAGCAGAACAACCGCACACCAGTCATCTTCAGCTCCGACGCCCAGTCAGAGTCAGAGTCCCGCCCCCGCGATTCTGACATCAAGTCAGAGCTGGAACCACAGTACGCCGACTCCCGAGTGCCGCGAGAGCCAGCTATACCCCCACCCCCACCCCTTTTTGCCCTTTTGTCCCGTCCCTCCTACTCGTTCTTCGGCGCAAACCTCCCGATACTATACTAAACTGCTCCTCCGTAAATTAATCATGCAGAGCCCGTCATCTCAGGGCGTGCGACGTCTTGGTTTCAAGGGTGATATTAAAAAAAAGAGGAAAAAAGAAAAAGAAAAGGGGAAAAAAAGAAAAGGACAAAAAAAAAGGACAAAAAAAAAGACAGACGTCACCCGGCCTCATCGTCATTCCCATCAAGAGTCTTGCAAGACCCTTGTGACAAGAAGAGCCACAGCCGCCGACGCCCCCACTAACCCCTCCTCTGCCACACCAAGACGGACCCTTGAAGTCGTTGTTGCATCCACACCCCCGCCAACAAACACGCCCCCAGACCTTGCAAGACAACCTTCCGTGCCGTTGCACGTTGCACATGGCAATTCCTTTCTTTCCTACTCACTACCCGGTCATTGGGAAGGGCTTGTACTTGCACCCACCGTCATATACTGCTGCGTTTGAATTGTACATGTGTGCGTGAGCGTGAGCGTGTGCGTGTGCGTGCGCGCGCGCGCGCGATGCCGGAGAGTATAGCATGCCGTCCAAATCTGCCGACATTGCTGGAACCTGGCTCGTTGGGGCACGGCCGGGGAGCCCAACTTGCTCAAGTCCGGGTCCTGGCACCCAGCCTTCGACGAAGCCGTGTCTGGGGGCACGTGTGGACGAAGACGTCGTTTTGGACGACTTGTCTCCGAACCGGCTCTTGAGCCGTTCCTTTTCTGCCGCCTGAGACCCCATGTACTCTTCCCACTCTCTGGTCTCCTGCGATTCCTTGGACTCCTTGGAAGACACCCTAGACCCCTCTCGGCTCCTGCCCTCATGGCCACGATGCTGGCAATGTTCCTTTGCGACTGGCTTGCGGGATGACCGTGTGCGGTCTGGGAGTGATGCCGGTGCGGCGGCGGCGGCGGCAGCAGCAGCAGCGTGGGGAGCGGCAGGATCGGCGGCGCCCGCGCCAAAGGGCGGCGTGTTGTGCCGTTCTTCCAAACTTCTCAGTTGCCTGGCCAGTCGTTCGTGGCGAGCCCCCAGCTCAGCGTTTGCGGACCGAAAAGTGTCGAGCTCAGCCCGTAGTGCGGCGTTTTCCTCTTGAGCAGTCTGCAGCTGCGACTTGTAAGAGTCCCTCTGTTGCTTCAACTCGTCGTATTTCTGCCCCAGTTCATCCTTCTGCTGCAGCGTCTCGCGCAGCTTTTTGCTGGCCTGCTCGAACCACGCCTGGAACCGGTCACATTCAGAGTGGACCCTGTTCAGTTCCGTGTTCAGCGCAGTATCGAGACTTATGTCGTCGTACTCACGACCTGGACGTCCAACACCGTCATCTGTTGGGGAGAAGTGGAAAACTGGGCGCTGTGTTGGTAACGGACCTGGCGGCATCCCGACGCCACTTGTCTGAGCCCTGCGGCCAATATTTGCCGAGGTCCGTTGTGTAGACGACCGCATGCCGGCTTTTTGTTTCGAGCTTGGTCTTGTTTTGCTCTTGTTTTGGCTTGTACTTGCAAGTCAAGGCACACGACCAAGAAAAAAATGGAGCTTAATAAAGAGCTGGGCAATAGACGTTGCTCTGCCAGGACGACGCTGGCGGCAGCAGATCAACCGACGACCGAGGACAGATGGAGTCAGGTTGTCGTAGTCTTCTATTAGACGCTGCCCGGAAACCACGCTTGGTCGGAAGAGAGAGCTTCTCCCCGTCTGCTTCTCTCCGTCTTGGTCTTTTTTTTTTTTTTTAATTCTCTTCTTCTTTCCTTCTCCTCTTTTGCCGTCGTTGCGTCTCGGCTCCAGGAGATGGTAACTGACCAGTGCGGGTTACAAGTGCACCAGTGACTGTGTCTGGGTCAGAGCCGGGACCAGCGGCAAACGAGCGGGCAAGGGTGCTTGCTTGCTTACCTACTTACTTGGCACCAAGTACCCAAGGTACTAAGTACCTGAATATGGTATGTAGGGTTTGGTTATGGCGGCAGTATGGGCAAGTCAAAAACAAAAAGTCACCGTTGAGTCACGGCGCGGGATGGATGATCAAGGTCAACGATGGGGGCCCAACAGGAGACGAGGAGCCAAGGTCGGCAAGAGTCTTGCCAGCTAGAGTATCCGGCTGAGGCGTTTGTCTGAGGAAAAGAAGGTGATTTGGAAAGGAGGATATGAAGTATATGTATTCCACCAGCAGAGCAGAGCAGAGCAGCCAGGGCCCAGCAGGCAGCCTGTCAGATTGGCGTCCTCGGCCTGGACTGGGAGGTGGGCGGTGCGCGCGTCTCGACGGACGAGGCGGACCGGGGGTGAGAAGGAAAGGAAGGATGCAGGCGGCGTAGCAACAGTCTGCTGTGCAGCGACCCCAGCTTGCATCTTGCAGCCCGCAGTTCACCTCGTTGTCAAAACCCCCAGTGACAAGCCGCTCGGCGGTTGTGCGCCGTTCATGCGCGGCCGCCTTGCCCTGCGTCGTTGGCAAAAACGCACCACAAGCCCTGAACGCCGAGTCGTAGCCACTTGAGATGGACCCATGTTCCGCATCTTCCAGGAGACGAGTCGACGACGACACTTTGTCCGACCGGTGCGCACCTGGGGGGATTTGGGCAAGGCTCGGGATGGTTGATGGCTTGACAGCGCAAGGGCTTTGTCCTTGCCAGAGCTTGAAAATGCCGAGGCAGCGAGCGAAACGTGTGAGGACGACGTTTGGCATGTCAAGGTGGTGTCGTGATATGAGCGAGTCACCAAGAATCCCGCTTGCACTTGCACTGATTGATGGACGACGAACGAGTGAGTGACGACTCACGAGCCGTCAGTTGGCCCCACCACCCGAGCGGGACATCATCTGCACGGGGTACACGCTACTCGGTGTTTTGCTTGGCACAAAGAAGTTGCGTGTCCTTGCCGGAAAACAAAAAAAGAAAATTAGAAGAAAAAAGAGAGAGAAGATCAAATAAAAAGAACAGGCGTCGGGGACCCTGACCACAGCAACGACGCTCGCCTCGAGCCAATTGGAGACGAGTGGCTGTGTGGATACAACAGTCGCCTCAATCAAGCCGGTGGTTGGTCGCCTTGTCGCGGTGCCCCTCGTCGACCTCCTTTGCAACGGCGCTCTTCCTCCCCTCCATCACCCGCACGCCGCCATTGTCGACAGTCGGCTGTTGACACCAATCCTCGTTGCCCACCCCCTTTGATTGTTAACCCAGGGAACACCCCGGCTCCCAGAGCTTCAGCCATTGGATTCGCCCCCACGACGCAGCCTAACGATGCTTGTAGGCCCTTGGCGACTCGACTTCTCGTGAGCCGCCACGGTGCCGGACTTGGTTTTCTCCCATGGCAGCCTGGTTTCGCACCCGCAGCTAGCGAGCGAGTGACTCATCGTCGTGGCAAGCAAGCAGCTGGCCCGAGCCATGCCAGATGCTCTTGCCGGTGAAGGGGAGGGACGAGAGAGGTCCATATCCATATCGGGTTCCGGATCGCAAAGGGGCCCCGCCGCCGGATAGCGTGAGACGGCGTGGTCAGATTTGCCATTTGCCAGGCAGATTTCCTCGTACCGACGGACCGTGCGGCCGATCACATCGTCGCCCCTTTCGGCATCCAGTCGTCGTGCGTTTGCGGAGCGTGGAGCAGCGAACATGTTCGCGGCGGCGACGCCAATCGTGCTCGCTGTCATATGAAGTATGCGTCGAGCCATAGGCCAATCGATGAGGCTGATCGCGGCCTTGACCCTCTCATAAGGGGAAGGAGTGTCGTGTGTGATGTGCAGGGCGACGAGTCGACGACTGTCAAAAGACGATCGATAAAGTGTCAAGAACAAGCTCCTGGCCAGAGCCCCGCCATCGATCAGCGGGTTGTTGGTGAGAGTCCAGCTGCCATGCTGCAGGACTGCCATGCTGCAGGACTGCCATGCTGCAAGACTGCCAGGCTGCAAGACAGCTAATCTGGCTGTCAAGGGGAACGGGAACTGGGGTGCTGCCTGGAGTGCTGCCTGGCGAGCCTGTGACGTCAGACAAAGCGGGCCATCCCGTCCTTCCTTGCTGAGTCGGTGGCCCGTGGGGGACAGATTCCGTGCTTGCTTCGTCTTGGACCAGTGCAGGCCGTCGAGCAGAGAACCCGTCAACCTTGCCCATTTTCCGTTTCGACTCTGTATCCTCAAGTAGATGGCCTGCGTCGTCATCTTCCTCATCAGCACGTTTGTCATGGCTGTTCAGGAGACAACACTGGATCGAATTACCCTCCATCCTCCAAAGGTCACTCTATCCACAGCCAGAGATCCGCGTACCTGCATGTCCCAGTCATGGAATGGATGGCCCGGTAATCACAGTGCGAAATTCCAACGGGTCGCTCTTCGTACTGTACCCAGGCACCCACCCAAGGACTTACTTAAAGTACCTGGGTACGCGCCACGCCACGCCAAACGTCAAACTCGATCCACTCGCACGACCCTGGCGCTTTTCTGGCCTCCGCCCTGGCTGAAGAAGTGCCAAAGTAAAAAAAGCACTCCAAGACGAAGGGTGACGGTGACCGCTGACAAAGAGGTGCTTGCGTACTAAAACGGCAGCGGGATTGGCGATCCCTGCTCACGCTGACTTGCTGACAGTTAGTTGGCACTGCTCGTGGAGACGCTCGAGCAGGAAGGGTATGCAAGACGGAATCAACAGGATTCTGATGACGGCCGCGTTTACATGGTCACCGTCTTGAGGACAGCGTGCAGGCCCCACTGCCAGCTTGCCTGCAGGTGCTGTTGATGATGAGGGCTGTCGTCGACCTGGGTTGTGTGGATGCCGTTGAATTCTGTTGATTCGCTCTTCCACATGCAAAAAAACAAGCTCTTTGTTCCCTTCTGTCTAAAGCTTCACTCGTCTCGGACACAGGGGAGGGTGGGTGGTTTGGTAGTGCCGTGTGGGCCAACCACATGATGCCCAAGACGCATGAGTCGTTTCGAAACTGTCACAAGACCCCCCGGAGTGCGCAGCAACAGATGTCAAGTCTACAGGGTGTGGTATTCGGTAGAAAGCTCGGCCTAACTAGAGAGAGAGAAAGAGAGGAAAGAACAAAAAAAAATGTGGTGAGGCCGCTGAGATAATCCGTAGTCCATGCAGGTTTGAAACTGCAGAGTTGTACCAGGGGTATTGTCAAGTCAGGAAAACAAAGCCATCAGAATCCGGCCCGGCTGTATGCTCAAGGAAGACACCGGGAAACAGTTCTTCCTTGACGGGTATTCGTAAAAAGTTCGCTAGAAGCACATCTGAAGGCAATACAGTATCAGCAACGAGTCGAAAGTGCCACGGCCGATCACGTGCGTACCCAAAATCGCAACCGCGTCACGGCCTGTCCACCAAACACCGTAAAGATAACTGCAAAAAGAATGAAAGCAGAGACATGGAGGGAGAGATCAAGCATGAGTGAGTGGAGCCGCGTCAGATTATTCGCCTACGCTTCAAAATCTCTTCGTATGCCCTCATCTTCTCCGTTCGGATACGCAATGTGAGGCAACTGTCGTCATAGTTGCGTTTGACATCTTCATACATATCTTTCCAGTATCGGTATTCCTTGCGCCAATATTCTGCTTCGCGAATCACGTCCGACGTTCGTCTGCCGCTGCCGCTGCCCGACTCAACTTCTTGCTGCAGCTGTTTGATCTTGCTCTTGAGGCTGTGGTTCTCATCCTTGAGAGCCCTCTTTTCATTCTCCAGTTTATCAATAGTGTCCTTGAGCTTCTCCGCATCTCGACTATGCCTTTCCTCGTTGCGGCTTGCGTTGTCCACCGTCTTTCGCAGAGAATCGTTGTCGACGCTGAGAAGGTGCATCTGCTGCTGCAGTTGAGGTACAAGGACCTGCCGGAGGTGATGTGCGTCCCCCTGGGCCGTCGCCAGACTGGCTTTCAGAGAACTAATCTCCGAGACCAGGTGCCTGTTGTTGTCTTCGAGACATCGCTCCCGCTCCTTTAGGCCGTCCCATTCCGCAATGCTGACCTTGAAGTATTCGTGGTCGACGCGGTGGCGGTGGCCATGGGAGCGGGAGCGTTTGATGGATACAATCTGTTGTTTACCGCTTGTCGTCGTTTCCAGGTACAGTCGTCGAGACATTCGGGAACCGGCTTCGGCTTTGAGTGGTAGTCGACTTTGTGAGGCACCCACCTTGGCGGCGGTTGCTGTCTCGACCTTGTGCTTTCGCTATCCCGTCTTTGGCCAAGACAAGACGGGATGTCCCGGCAAGGTTCAAAACGATACAATGCGAAAACACACACACAAGCTTGTATAGCAAGAATGGTTTCCCAAAAGAAGGATGTTGAAAGGATTCTGAAAGAAAGGCGGGACGCCAGCTTAATGTAGGATGCGCCGTAAAGGTGAATGAGACTGAGTGAAATACCACAAGAAAGAGGCACTCGACTACAGCAGCTGATCAAAGGAATAAAGAATGATGGAGATCTAATGAGAGTCCCCCAAGGTCACGACAAAGGCCATGCTCAAGTGTATCAGGCATGGGGCATCGTTTTGTAAGGGATATTTTGGCTCCCCTCGGCTGGTCCTACCTGCGACTTCTTTCACACTACGGCCACCTGAAGGATTCGAAGAAGACAAGGTGTGGCACGCGATCGTAGCAGATGGCCGCAAGCATAGCCTGCGTGGGAGGTCCCAGTGCTTGTGCATCTGTGGCTGGGGCGTCGCGGCTGGACTTGAAGCTCAAGGTGCGCAAGGCTGACGGTGACGGGATGTGGTGAAGTTGGGGTGTCCAGTCCGTCCGCATGCAAGGAGTCAAGGACTGGTCCTGAAAAAAAGACTCCGGCCAGCTGCCATCCGAGTAGGCCTCCCGAGGGTCGGCTGTAGCTGTTATCATTGTTCCCGAGCTTGCACGACACGGGCAGCATGTCAAAGAAAGTGCGCGCGGGGGACGTGCTCCGAAAGAGCACGAGGGTCTGGCATTCAGTCACCCATGTCTCATCCCGATCATATGCCTTTGACCGGAGGCCGCCTCTTTGTGTCTGGGCGAACGAGCGCCTGGGTTGCTGCTCCGTACCCGGGCTGTGGCTGCTGGGTGAGGACAGGGCCTGCATCCGCAAAGGTCAGCGGAAAGTCGTTTTAGTGCCAATGTTTGACTGAGACGCCGTACTTTGGCTATTCACTACCTTGTCCATGGTTCTTGAGATTTCGCGTTCTGGCGGTCGCGATCGCGTCCTCGATGGACGGATGCAAGGGCTATGCAGGGACAATGCACGATACCCGTCTGCAAACTGGCCGGCAACGTCGTGGCCGGTGCCGACTGGGGCAATGGGAAAACATGCGAATCACAGGAAGCCGGATGCCGTCAGAGGCGAGGTCAGGAAGATGAGGCATGCGGCGCGGGTGACTGGACATTCGTTCAGCCGACAACTCTAGGCAGGGTCAGTTGATTGCACATGGAGCAAATCCGCACAGTGTGTCCCATGTGGTTTGCCCTGCAGCCACGTGCTCGGTCCACGCTCCACGTAGGTCTCAGGCACCAGGCACCAGGCGTCCATCGTACAGTGTGAGGAGGCGGCATGACCTTCTCATTGTTCGCCACACTTTCCAGCCTCGACTTTCCAGCCACAAGTCATTTTAGGTCTCTGACTCTCGATATAGAGGGCGACCATCGCTTGCGCTTCTCCTGCTCGAGGTCAGTCGTGGGCGGAGGGTGGGTGCCCTGCAACGAAACTGAGAGTGTCCGATTGTCCCGACTCCCAAGGCCTTTTGTTCACGACGCGGTTTCTATTTAAATGCAAAAGAAGAAACCAGGACCGCTCGCTGCCGCCCATTGTCCCAGACGACACCGCCTTTGTAGCGGGGGCGTCGGGCGATGCGCTTTATGCCGAGTTTCAACACCAAACACCAACTTCACAAAGGGAGCAGTATGCATCAGGAGGTCGCCAAGGTCAGAATGAAGCGGCACGACGGGTGTGTATGACTGCATTGCCCTAGACTTGAACGTCAAGTCTCACTATACATTCTTCAGTGCTTTCTCAGAAATGTTCATCCCGAGGCACCGTGCCATGCAAACTCGCAACCAGCAGGTGCACTTGCTTATGAGCATTTTCAACTTCCATCACCTCCCCTCTCTCTCTCCCCAGGACTCGCAGATGAGCTCTTGTTAATCTACCAAGCTTTCCCCGTTTCCCTCCCAAGCAAGAAATCACGTCAAAAAATGCCTTTCTTTGGTGATGCGCTCGCTTCCTTTCAAAGCCGATTATATCTGCACCGTCGACATGCCATGAGCCGACAATCGCGGCATTCATATATATACTCGAGCATGTGGTTAAAGCACTCTTCGCACTGAAACGAGCCCCTCCGAGACTTCCAGCGATGATTCCAGCAGTCATGGTTCGCGACCAGATTATGCCAGGACAAGGCGATTATGCCCTTCGATTTGAACTCTATCCGCATCACGATCAACGATGGCATTAGCCCGATCGACCAATCTCTGCTCTTCCCACTGGTCACAACCGCAATTCTTCCACCGTACTCCACACACAAAGCAGAATTGAGCACCGCATCGACAAGCTGCGGCAACGTTAGTTCGTTTTGATAAAAAAAAAACACGGATATCAGCGAAGCAGCTCACTTATGTGATTACAGCCGAGTTCCAAGTCGACCATTCTGCGGCACGAGTAACATCTCTGCCACCCATTCTCTGCTGCCAAATTGAGCAGGTCCATCGTTGCCACATCCTGAGGACAGCCGCCATCATGAGATGAGCCCTTGCAGATTGTGCAAGTCTTGCTCCAGCACTTGACGCACGTTGCAACTTCCCCACGGATGAGATGCGTCGGAATAAAAGTAGAACAGGCGGCTTCGTGGCAGTACGTTCTGTCCTTGGTGGTATACTCCAGCTCCTTGGCTCGATACCGCCCTGCTGACTCTGCCGGAAGGAAAGTTTGAAAAAGGCCAAGAGGGATAGGCTGACTGCAGCACCGGGGAGGGAACAGCGACTCGTCCTTGATTACCGATTGGAAGAGATCGGCCATGCACGCGCGACAGTATTCATGCGAGCAGGGACGTCGTACCGTCTCAAAGCATGCAACGTCGGCCATGCACGCCACGCAACGTCGTTTGTCGACAGCCGTTGGAGGACGCCCGGCCTGCCGCTCCTCCTCGACATGGTCCTGGATGACCTCTGCGTCTGACAGGACGGCACGGGCAATGCTGCGACTAATGGCTTGGTCTGCACGAAACGTGGCAAGAGACTCGAGCTCGAGCTTGTCAAGCTCCGCCGCCAGCTCTCCGTCGGGGGTCTCGCCTGTCCTGTGTTTCCCCTTGACTAACTTGCGCGCATCTTCTAGTTGAAGCTCGATTGTCAAATCAAGGCTCGCTTGGTCAAGAGAAACATCATGATGATCAAGATGCGAGGGAATGCATGAGGGCTTGCAACTTGTGAGCCTGTGAAAGGTTAACATGTGCGAAATGAGTGCCATGTTGAGATGTCTTGAGCTATGTCCAGCTACGAAGAGAGACTGAGATATCAGTCTGCGGGGCCGGAACCCACATCACGAGACGACTGTCAACAGAAGGCATCAATCCATGGCCTGGGAGAGCCGCTGATATAGTCTGATAGACTGATAGCCAAGAGCAATCTGTGGCAAATCACTAATACTTCATTATGTCAGAACCGGACATAAGATCGGCACGTCGTGCCCGAACAATGTTGAGCCGCCAAAGGCGTCTTTTCCCTGAAGATTTTCTAATACCTCTTCTTCACATGACCTGGATGTACAATAAGGACCTTGCATTACCTTTCCAAGGGCCCGCTGGGATGTTGCTGTGCAAGGTCACTGATCTGCTGTTCAAGCCTCTTGTCCTCACACTCTATTTCGTGCACTCGTTGCAGGTACCGTCGCTCCTCTGCTAACTTTGTACGTTTCCTTTGAAGTGCCCCCAGACTGGGCGTATCTTGATGCCCGTTCGCTTCCGCGTCTATTTTCATCTCATTCAAAGGCCGACTCACTACAAACGCTCGTGGAGGACCTTGAGGCGGGCAGGCAGAAGCTGCATTGAACACAGTTCGGCCTCCTTCCACCGATGACTCTCCCGACACCGTTGGAACAGGAGTGGAATCTATTTCGTGAGCCTGTCCACTGAGCCTAGCAGCCGCGGACTGCCTTGGCGTGTACGAGTCCATCTCGTGGGCCATTTCTGTCGAACCTAATCCCACCCAAATTAGATTTTTCTAGTCCGGCGGGTGCAGGGAAAATGTGAGAGAGCATTACATACCTAGCAGCTCACCATGCCCAGTCCGTATCGGATGGCCGTCTTTCTCCTCCTCCAACTGTCCATTACGGACCTGGACCGAAGCTGCTCGGGGTCGGCGGCGTCGACGGTAGCACCAGAATGCTCCAATGAGAGAGCCGAGGGCAGCTACAACGGCAGCGGTGGTGGCTATTATAAGTCCAGTGGAAAGCCCAGGGCTCCCAGAGTTCCCAGAGCTCCCAGTGTTCCCAGATTTCTCAGAATTCCCAGGTTTCTCAGAGTTTCCGGATTTCTCAGAGTTCCCGGATTTCTCAGAGTTTCCGGGTTTCTCAGGGCTCCCAGAGGCTGTCGATGTAGTGGTTGGACTCTCGGTTGGCGTGCCCGTTGAAGCGCTTTTTGAACTGCTGGATGGCGGCAGCAGGGAATTCTGAACCGTAGGCTGCCAACTTGCAGAGTCTGAGTCCCCAAACGTGGCCTGGGAAAACGATCCGGGATGTACATGTTGGCAACGCCAGTCGATAATGGACTGAGCCTGGAGAAGGTCGGCGGTCGAGCATCCGCTTTGCGCACCACACTCTGCAACGGGGTTCGCGAGCTTGGATTTGGTGCGAGGCCGGCAGAGACAAAAGGCAACCTCTCCCTCAGTCCCCGTACACCCAACTCCAGGTAGAGCATTCTTAATACAGGCCCTGGCACAGGGAGCCATCTGAAAGTGGCCTTGCACCAAGGCGATGCCAACCGCGACCACGACCACAGTGACGCGCTTCATGCTCAAGACCAGAGCCGAGTGGGAAGGTGAGGAGGTGCGAAAGCTGACAAAGTAGAGTGATGGGGGACTTGAGCAGACATTATGGGTTGCGGTTTGCGGTTTGCGGGCGGCACTTTGAGAATAGGGAGTGGAACAAGGCTGACGATGACTTGGACGAAATGACTGGTCAGGTGAAGAAGAAAAGTAACAAGCGTGTCAATACGTAGTAGTACTCCGTATGTTGTTGGATGATACTGGACCTGCAGGCCCTGTGCGCATCTTTATCTTGTCACACAAGTCTAATTGGACAACTACCGAGCGACTGGCTTTGTGTCACGCCTCGTGTAAGCAAAATGTTCCAGAGGTCTCCCGCTTTTCTTTAATTGCGTTGGCGGTGCCTGGATGCTGGTCCGTGAGACCGGGCCATACGTATCAACGACTAGCTCGGAACCTGAGACACACAGCTTTCAGTATTTTGTTTCCTCAACGCTGCCCCATCTGGACCTATGGATTTGCCGAGAGAAGAAGCGGGAGGTTCCAACGTTAAGGGGGCGGGAGAGGAAGGAGAAAAATATTCTCCGTACCTCGTGATCGGCGAGGCTCCCCTGGCTGCTGGCTGATGGACTTTGGACAAACGCGTCGAACAGTTTCTCGGGCAAGCGTGGTCTGCGCAGGCATGTTATCGTGCGTGCCGGAAACATTCCGGATGGGAAAGGTGAAGAGCAACTGCACAAGTCAGCCGTGAATCACACCTGGAGGCTGGATCTAGGGTGCTCCGCACGTTGTAGTTGGGCATTTGACGCTCGAAAAGCTGGAAATCTCAAGTCAGGTGGTGGGTGCTCTGCACGTACGCACGAGCTGGGTTACCGAAATCAATGTCAAAGATTGAGCGGACCAAACAAGATCGAACATGCGAACGCCCGTAGTTGACGTTTCGACGCGTCGGCTGAGAAGTGGAAATATGAGACATCTGGACTCGAGTCGACTGGCAGGTGTCCAGTGTCAACGTCACGATGGCACTTTCCAAAAGAAGACATCTGGTAACGTTGGGTGCGTACTTCCTGCTCCGTACTGACAATGGACATCAATTGACGCCTCCATGTCACTGGTCAGCCTCCGTCATGTGGCCCATCAGCTGGCCATGCAACCTCGACGAGTGGCGGCTGCCTGCAGAGACTGCTCAGCCGAGCCCAATAATTTCAGCTGCATTCTTGAAACCGTCAACGTTCGAATTCAATCGCCCAAGACTGTAGCGTTCCCAAGTTTTATCTCGCTACATGGCTGTGTCGAAGCACTCCGTACAACCTCGACACATGCGTGTTCTCAACTTGGACCCCAAATTTTGTCGGCGAGCTGTCTGCCACGTCTGGCGCGAGCAGTATCCCCAATCAGCCGAGCATCTTTGCTTTGCGATACTGTTTGACAGTCGGGTCATTTGGAAGGAATCTTGTTAAAATCGACCCTCGTCAGGATACCGTATTGCCTCTGTTTTCGACAGACGCGCGGGCCGCAAGTATGTTTCTCGACATCGAGTGATGGTGTACTTGGGGGCTCGCTTACCGAAAGACAACTCGCCCTATTCGAGGACTTGCTCAATGTGCACATGGAAACCCCACGCACCTGGCAGCGAGCGCCCTTGAGAAGGTTGGTCTGCTTTCTTTGCCCATCATTTCGGGGCCAACGCCAAGGACCCGTCACAGGATGACCCAGAGTCCCGGGCTATATATAGGTCAACCAGACAGCAGCACCTTGACCCCAACGACAGCAAGCTCGCCAGAGCCAACAGGACAGATGAGTCAGTCGCCACTGCTAGCGGGATCGTCTTCAGGTTTGGCGGATGTCAAATCGGACTAGATGGGAACGACTTGATGACACGAACGACTTGCTAAAACCGCCGAATCTCGAAAAATTGCAAGCGCTCAGCGCTCCAACGCTCCAACCTTGTGTGTAGCGCTGAACCTGGAAATAATGCCCACACAGCCCATCTTCTGGCATGAGCAAATGAGCCGAGGCGTACCAGATTGACGAGGACATCTGGCCAAGGACTTCAAGCCAACCACGTCTGCATACTGTAACGAGTAACGAGAAATGCCTGATGGCTACTGAGCTGAACTGGGTTCAACCTTGGCCGAGATCCCCCGCGGTAACTGGGCATCCACCATGCCAGAGGCCAGAGGGGTTGGGGTTCCGCCCAATCGCGCTCAAATTTAAATTTTTTTTAAAGTCGCCCACCAAAACAAAAACATCTTCCGGAAGAAAGGGCCCAGGTGGCGCAACTTGGGGAGGGGGACCGGGCTATTTCCGCGCGGGACGACTTATCCCCCGCCAGTGCTCCGGCTTCGGTGCTTTGACGGCGCCAAGCATGGGCTACCGGCCACGGACTACAACTCCATACGAACTGGGTAACACACAAAACCTTGCCGTGATAAAGGCCCTCCGACGCAGGTCCTTTCAGGGTTGTATTAATCACGACTCGAATCTCGAATGGGTTTGGCGACCCGACTTCGGTCCCACCCGCAGCCGTTTGGGAGGTGGAAACGAACTCCATAGCCGCACTTGGCTGCCGAGCTCTCCCTCCCCCCTCTCTCATTTAGGTTATTTTCTTTCCTGTTTGTTTCCTCGTCCAGACTTTGCTCAAGCGGCATGTACGTAGGGCCTGCTTCCTTGTCACTGCCCCTTGAAAGCGCTGCTCGGCCCGGCCTTGCCATGATTCCTGTCCATGTTGCCGTCCAACTTGGCCATCAAGTGACACGAGTCTCGACATTGGCTTACTGTAATGTCGTTTTGAACACTGCAATTTTCATGGTGAACTGTTGTAATAGACAATTCTTTGACTAGTCCATCATGGTGGCCACAGACAACACGGAAGTAAACAACGTGGCTTTCGGAGACGATGAGTGTAAGTGGAGTCTTCTTTCTTCCCCCTCATGTCTTCCACCCAGACGATTAATGCCGTTTAGACGGAAGGGAAACAGAAGGCCACCCCGTTGACCAAATACAAACACTGAACGAGCGAGACGCCCACGACCAGTATGCCTGGGAGGCAATGGATTACGGCGACGGCATTCTCTCTGGCATCCGCTCCAGAACACGCAGCCACACTGACCACACCGTCATCGGCTGGGAGGTCGATGACCCGGATAATCCTCACAACTGGTCGACGGTACAGTCTCCCTTGCCTCCCCAATTGAAACCTCTTCATCACTCTGACGTATATACCAGTCCCGCAAGACTTTTGCCGTCTTGATCTGTGTCATGCTCGTTCTCAACTCCACCATGTCCTCTGCCCTCCCCAGCATGGCCATTCCCAACATCACAGCCGAGTATGGCGTCAATGAAAGCACGCAGAGCGTTCTTCCAATCAGTGTTTTTCTGATTGGGTACATATTTGGCCCGCTCATCTGGGGCCCTCTCACGGAGCATTTCGGACGAAGAAATCTCACCGTCGTGACTTTTGTAGTCTTTACGCTGTTCACAATGGCTTGCGCCCTGGCGCCGAGCTGGGGGAGCTTCCTCGTGTTTAGGATGGTCTGCGGTGTGTGTGCGGGCGCGCCAATTGCCATTGTAGCCGGCATCCTGGCGGATGTCTTCGGCGACTATCGGACTCGCGGGAGGGCGTACGCAGTCTTCATGGTGGTGAGTGTTCGTCTGAAGTTTGCACTCTGGTATATCCGCTGCCACACTCTCTGCCTTTTTTTGTTGGGACCGGAATACCAGGTGAGGAGAAGGCAGGCAGTGAACTAATCATCGCGCGACGCCGTAGGCCACCGTCTGGGGACCGTTGCTCGCGCCCATCATCTCAGGTTACACGTCCACGACTATCGGATGGCACTGGGCGTTTTGGATCGGCCTCATCTTTGCCGGGTTCACACTGCTCATCATAGCCTGTCTGCCAGAGACATTTGGGCCTATCCTCCTTGCGCGAAGGGCGCAAAGGATGCGCGAGGAGGATCCCACGCAGCGCGTCGTGGCACCCCGTGAGCTCGAGGAAACGAGCCTCAGCCGGCTCCTGAGCGTCATCATCACCCGACCGATCCGCATGCTGGCCTCTGAGCTCATCGTCACGGCCACGTGCGCATACCTGGCGCTCGTGTACGCCATCTTCTACATGTCCTTCCAGGCTTTTCCCATCATCTTCCGCGACCTGTACGGCCTCAGCCCCGGCGAGACTGGTCTGACGTACCTCCTCATTGGAGCAGGCGGCCTGATCTCTCTTCCGGTCTTCTGGTACTGGGACGTTGCGCTGATGAGGGCCCAGGAGCGAGGGTCTTGGTGGTCGAAGCGCGAAGAGTCGCGGCGCCTTCCGCTTGCTTGCCTGGGCGGCCCTCTCTTTGTCATCTCCCTCTTCTGGCTGGGCTTCAGCGCAAAGATGACCACGCCCTTCATGACGCCTATGCTCGCGGGCATCCCGTTTGGCATGGGATACATACTCATCTTTATGGCACTGCTGAACTACTTGACGGATTCGTACGAGATTTACGCCGCGTCCGCCAACGCAGCTGCTTCATGTTGCCGGTCCGTCCTCGCCGTCGTCTTGCCGCTCGCGACGACACCCATGTTTCGGCAGCTGGGGATTACGGGGGCGTGCTCGCTGCTCGGGGGGCTGAGCGCCGTGATGTGTGTGATTCCCTTCATTTTCATCTGGCAGGGGCCGATTATTCGGGCCAGGTCGAGGTTTTGCATCGCGTTGAGGGAGCAGAAGGAGGAGATGCAGAGGAAAGCGGATGCGCAGCGGGGAAGCGCGGCGAGGAGGGAGGACGCGAAGCAGGAGAGCGAGACGGTGGAGGTCTGATGTGGCAGTTTCGGTATTGATGTTTGTGGGCATTTGGCATGGGCGGTTTTTGGTTTTCAGCGTAAAGAAGACTGGCAGGACAATGCACACGATGTTTTGGATTGTCAGTTTTGCCGAATGCCCCGACACGATACGCTTGTCAGCTCGTGACCCATTCCATGGCCGTTCCCACTGCACATGCAGTCCCTCGACCTCTCCTCGCGGCCCATCCAGTCGCCCAGCCGTTCAATCGGTGCCTGGGCAAATGAAGGGCCGTCCAAGCACAGAACTCGGACGGCTCGTTGCACGCAGAATGTTGGACACCAACACGCGCAGGCGGCCTCTGACAGGCGTCAGCGCAAGAGGGCACGCGACGGAGACGGCCGCGGCAGCAGCGAGTCCCCGCGTCGACGGCAGCAGCACACGCCTGCCGGCCGGCATCTCGCGCCCCCAAGCGACCCCCATCCGGGGCCGGCACGAGTGGTGCACGCAGTGCGGGGACGCCGCGACGCCGCCGCCCCTGATGACGACCGTTCCCACGTGCCGGCCGCACGTGGCGCCGCCGCCGCCGCTGCGTGTTGCGGCGGGTCAGCCACGGCCCACGGCGCGGGTTTCGTGGTCCCGGGCGTGCCTTTGCTCCTGCTTTTGCCGTCAACCAACGCTGCTTGCGAATCAATGCCAGGTCGCGCGTGCTGCGTGTGGGCTCTTCTTTTTCTGCTCTCGAGCCAAGTTGTCGCGGTCCGCATGGACCAGGGATCCATCTAGTCATGCAAGTCAACGTGTGTGCGGGCGGGCCCTGCTCCGGCGGTACTATTCAAGACTACGACTCGACACTCGACACTCGACACTTGGCACGGGAGTCGGGACAGCCGGACAGCCGGACAGCCGGCGCTTGTTGCAGCTCCCCGGCCGGAACAAGGCGAGATACATGAAGACGGGGACGCGTCCACCCGCCCGACATCGGGGGCCCCGAAGCGCGCATGCCCCGCCTGCGTCCCCAAACGCCCAAACGCCGTAACCCGACGTCGCTCACGTCCCCGTGCGGACCGTTCAAAAAAAAAAAAATCCGAGGCCGACGCCTTCGTGAAAGCTACACTACACACCCGCCATGTGGTCCCCCGTTCCTGAAAACGCCCCCCGGAGACGGCCTGGGAATATCTAGAGTGCGCACCTCTGCTCTCCTTCCTTCTCCTCTCCCCTTCTTCACGCTCTCTCGTGTTGTAGGCTTGACGGCTGTGTGACAACCCCCACTCTTGACGCCTGAAACTGTTGTGCATTCCTGCCCTTGTCCTCCTGCCCTCCATTGGTATCATTGAAACAGCAACAAACAGACACACGCCCCCCATTCTAGACATGTGGAAAACAAGAAAAACAGAAAAATAAACAAAAATACACCACCACCAAAAAAAAAAAATTCGTCTTGTGGACGATGATGCCCCCCTTGCGCCGAGTATCCGGGAAGCCACGCCAAATCAGCCAGCGTGGCTGCCGGTCGTATCGTAAAGTCGTCCCAATGAAACTGTCATTCATTCATGCACAAAAGGCCCTTCCAAAGCCGAGGCCGTGCGTCGTACACACCGCCATCGTCACACAACGGGCATCACTTCCCGGCCCCGTTCGTGCAGGGAGCTCATGACGCTAGGCCTTGTGCCGCCACGGCTTGAAGGCTTTGGAGAAGAGCTGCCTCTGCTGCGTTGTCGTCTTGCTCCTGCTGCGTCGGAGAGTCGGGGTTTGGTGCCTCTGAGGGCGGGGACGGGTGTTTTTGGGCTGCTGCTGCCGGTGCCGGTGCCGGTGCCGGTGCCGGTGACGGAGTCGGCGCGGGTCGGGCAGCCGCTTGACGTGGCTGCGGTGAAAGGGCTTGTGCTTGTGCTCGTGCAGGCGAGGTTGTCGAGGACGCTGGTTGTGGCGGAGCGGCAGCCGGAGACGTGCCGGTTGGCGCGGGCCTTGTCGCGGGCGGCTGCGCCGTGGAAGCATGATGCTGCTGGGCGGCCGGCGGCTGCCATGGCCCTTGTACTTGCTGTGTCTTGGTTGCCGGCTGCCGTGTTTGCTGTCCTTGCGGTCGAGGAACCTGAGGCGGCAGCTGTGCCCGGGGTCGGGTATTTGCCTGGGCAGCAGAGTGCAACGGCTGCTGCGTGTTCGCCTGGCCGCCTGGGCGAGTTTGGGAAGCCGGAGTCGCCATCGGCCTTGGTGCCGACGTCGCTTGGGCCCCTCGGTCAGCCTCGTTGGCTTGACGCCCGACTTCTTGTTCTTGTTGTGGTGGCGGTGGTGCAGACGAGGCCGCTTGCGCTGCCTGTGCCGGCGTTGGACCGTTTGGCGGGTGTTTTAGGCCGCCTGCCAGGGCCATGATGCCTTGAAGTTTTGCTTGGTCTTCTTCAGAGTTGAGCCTGGCCCTCTCCTCGGCCTCCTTTCTCGCCGCTTGCGTCGGCGCACGCGTCTTCAGTTCTCCCGTAACGGCTTGCAGATAGTAAGGCATCTCGGAGTTGGTCTTCAAGAAGAAGAGCTTGAGATTGCGGGCCTTGTCCTTGAGCTGCACCTGCGTCCTGTCCCTGAGTATGTCCGATATGGTCCCGTTCTGGCCGAAGAGCGTCAGGATCTGGCTCCAATGGGGTCCCTTAACCATGTCCAAGCCAGCCATGAGCGCCTTTTCTTCCTCCTGGGTCCAAGGTCGACGAGCCGAGTGCAGTCCTTCTCTCCGAGTGTGTGCAGAGGTCTTTGAGATGGCAGCCTGGCGAGCCTTGTCGTATAGTACGGAGCTGGGACACGTCTGGTTCGGCGGGAGGGTCTCGCCAGGCGCTGTAGGCGGCTGCGGCTCGGGAGTTGGCTGTGTGTAGGTGTAGTACGGATTTTGTGCTTGGTGATGTTGCAACTGCGTCAAACAAGGTAACTGAGCGGCCGCGCTCTCGGCTATTCATGCATGACGTTAGAGGGTTGAGAGAGTGCGAGCTACAGGGGCAGAACTGACTGGTGCCACCAGAAGCGCCGGGTTGAAAGCAGGCTGGTGAGAGGCCGTGAAGAGTGGTCTTGACGTAGTTGGAAGTACTCTCCGCCACGAGAGCCTCGAGTTCCTTGTAGTCTGTCATGAGGTCGACTTTGCCGTTGGTCCGGGATAGGGCGGCGTCCGCCTTATTCTCGGTGCGTGAGGGTGCGGCCTCGCCCTCTTCTTCTCCTTCTGTTGAGGCCGTCGTGGCTGGCTCGTCTGTCAGCCCTGCGAGAGCATTCTGTACCAGACCAGAAGCCGTCTTTTCAAAGAACGACGACAGTTCATCCAAATCCAAGTCGGCGTCCCTGGCGGCTTCGGCAATTTGCTCCGACCGAGACTCGCTGTCCCCAATCTCTACGGCAATTCCCAACTTGTCGCCTATTTCTGTCAGTGACCTGAGCCGGTCGGTGGCATGTTCCAGAAAGCTCCGCAGCAAGTCCTCGGCAGGGTGCTTCTCTCTCAAAGCAACAGCTGAAACGCGGTGGGTTAGCGCAACTTCAACGTCAAAACGGCCGTCTATGAGCCTCGTGCATACCTGGCTCCGACTCTTCCTTGACCTCCCCTTGCAGCGTCTCTTTCCGTGTCTGAACTGAAGATGCAAAGCTCTGGTCGGCAGACGTCAACTGCCCTCCGCCGCGCTGCTCTTTCAAGGCGTCCTCCAGGCCTCGCGTCAGGACCTCTCCGATAACCTCTTCCGACCGCTTTGACGGCTCCTTCTCAACAAGAAACTCTATGGCTCTTTGCGTTTTGATACCCAAGTACAGTTCCGTCATTTCAGGTGGCAGTTCCGACAGTTGTTGGCACTGGGAAATGGCGAGAAAGTTTTCGTCGGCCTCGGAGAGAGCCTGTGGGGTTCCGTCAACCAGCCATAATCCCAACTGCGCGAGATTTGCGAGTTCGATAAAGGTTTGGGAGTCGGCATCCTGGAAGTCGAGTTGACTCGCAGACAACGAGGGTCCAGACGAGTACATGTCGCGGACATTCTCAAAGGCACACTTGAGCTTGCCAAATGCCCTGTCATGTTGTGAATCAGATGCTCGAGCCAGTTTGATCGCGTCTTCAACAGGTCGTTGCACAAGAATAAGCAATAGCGACAAGGCCTGGCGATGCGGCGGTCAGTCGAGGGGTACGTCCCGGGCAGCGCATTGACTTACAAGACTCCCTAGCGCATGGACATTGGCGTCGCGAATGAACTTCTGGGGGTCCGATCGAAATGTAGTCCGAATGACAGGAGATTCAGGTGCCCGTATGCTTGTGTCAACCTCGATCGGGTCCGATGCGGGCGGTTCCGGGGCTGGCTCTTGTCCGTTGGTGAATTGGTCGACCATGTCGCCAACATTCGACAGCGCATTCTGTACCAGTAGTGCTAATCCATCCTCGAGTGAAGCTTCTTCAGTCTCGGTCGCGGTCTTTGCTCGTTTGGCCTCTGGTGCTTCGGCCCCGGCGCCAACGTCCTCCTCCAAAGGTCGTTTTGGTGCGAGTTCCGGCGGCAAGGTCAAGTCGAGGCGCCCTAGATCCGTCGGTTCGTGTTCTTGTTTGATATCTGCAGCACAGCACGATTAGAATAGCCATACTCTCCCTGCCCATGGTTTCCCTCCCTGCAAGATGCTCATTGCACGGCGTCATTCGCGCGTGATTTGCTTCTCATTCATGGTGGGTGACAGGATGGGCTGGGACGAAAATACCTGACGCCGTGGGGCAAGCACTGGCCTCAGCTAACGCTGACTCGGCCATGATGCCAATGGAGTCGACTGCAACAGTAAGGAATGCATGCGATGGCGTGTTGGGTTGTGCCCTGTCGCAGGAGTGGCCGGATGCTTGGTTGTTCGCAGCTCTTGTTGGATGGCGGCTGCAGACGCGGGCTCGGCGCTTTGCAGTCTTGGGTTGGGGAGGCGGGAGGCGGCGGGCCGACCGGGAAAACTTGCTGAGTCAGTCATCCGATTGCCCTTATATCGTGCCCCAACATTCTGTCGCTTCAGATACACAACTAACACAGGATTGAGTATTCGCAAAAACCAAAATGTCAAAATTGACGGGCTCGCAACTTCTCCCTCCATCATGTTTCACACATCCTTTATTCGCCCATTCATCATTTATTACATCAACCGAAATCTATACATGAACACTAACCTTAAGTATGTACCAAGAAATTTCCTGCCCATCGCAGGTGGTCTTGCCACCAAAAAAAAAGAAAAAGAAAAAAACTGCACTTCTAGACGGCCAAACCGTTGCAAAATGGCCTGGGCATCCGAGCGACATTCACCAGGTACTACAAGCCTTCCACAGCAGAGTTCTCAGTCTTACAATGCGAGGGCGAATACCAAAACAACGCCGGCAACGCTAGCCCCAGTAGCAGCCAAGTGTCTGTCGAGAGAAGCAGCATTGTCCTCGTTTGTCTCGCTGCTGTCGCTACCATTGCTGTCACTGCCCTCGTCACTGCCATTACCCTGACCCTGACCCTGATCTTGCCCACTCATGCCGCTGTCGGTGGGTTCCGGCTTATCTGATGTCTCAGCTGTGGCGCTGGCTTGGCTGGTGAAGGTGCCAGTCAACGTCTCGCCGAGCGTAGGTAGCTTTACATTTCCATCCACCTGCCACCATCCGGCGGCGGTCGAGGTCGGACAAGCCCGGGTTGACACTTGATTGGCATCATAGTCCTGCTTCATCACGCCAGCAGGGTTGATACTCGCCCACTTGGTCTTGAGGTTGTCAAAGTCGGGACTGATCGGGGTCGGAGTGCCTTTGCGGGTGAAGCCATCGTAAACGTTTTCGCCTGGCTGGGAAGCGTCGACCTTGGGGCCGTATGAAATGAGGCCGTAGTTGTTTTGCTCCTGAATCCACTCGTAAATAAGGGCACCGCTCCAGTCATTAACCATGGGCTTGGTGAAAATGGCATCCTGGTCATCCCACTTCCGGGGCCCGGGAACGTTGCAACCTGTTTCACTAAAAAAGATTGGTACGGGGAAGTTCTTGGCGTATTCTTGTAGCTTGTTGTAGCTAGACGCTTCAAAAGTGCTGGGGTCGCACCAAGAATAGGAGTTGAGGGCAAAGAAATCGACAATCTCGGATGAATTTCCTCCGCAGGTGAGATAGTCTTGCAGCATGGGGCGAAGCTGCACAATATCCGCGGCTGAGTAGCCGATGGGGATGCTGCGATAGCCCTTGCGGTCCCGATAGGCCTTGATGTCACGAGCGGCAGCCTTGAGGAATGGAGCTGCTGGGGAATCGTCCTTTGTTGCGATGTTCTCATTGCCGACGAAGAAGCCCAGAACATTGTCGTACCCGTGGAAGGCGTCCATAACCTGTGAGTACCTTTCATACTGAGTGGAGTTCCAGTAAAGATCCCTCTACAGGGGTGCATCAATCATGGCTGTCAGACATGGCCTCTTTTTTTCCTTCACAAACGTTACGGGAACACTTACGGCCTCAATGTATGTGCCAAAGGTATCCATGTCGACGAGGAGATAGATTCCAGCGTCATCCAGCGCCTTCATGCAGCCGTCGTGCTTAGCCTTGGCATCTACATGATAAACGCGGATTGTGTTGACACCCAATTCTTTCATGAGCGAGAAGTCTCGTTTACATTGTTCCGTGTCGATGAGCGGATCGTCAGGCACCAGCTGGTAAGCAACGCCTGGTCAACAGCATTAGCATAGCAGACACAAAGCACGGCTGTCCAGTCGCGAAACTCGCCCTTGATGAAGAATTGGGTTCCGCTTTTGGTGAAAAACTTGTTTCCGTAAGCCTCGAGGGGATCGACGGCGCCAACAGACGCGCCCAGGCCGAATAGGGCAGTCCAGAGAGCCGCAGAGCGCATTGTGCACTTGTCCGATGCGCAAAGCTCGCACCGGGTCCAACGGAGGCGTCAAGGGGGACTGGGCTCGTTGAGAGCTTCAGCAAAGAGCAAAGCGAGCTTTGGCCGAGCTGGCCACTCGACTATGATGGAAGAAGCTCAAGGTCCAAAGAGGTCTCACCCGGTTTGAGCAACCGAGGCACCAAGGGCAGCCAGTACAAGCGAAGTCCAAGTCGAATGGGCGGGCGTTGTGCAGCTCACCCTCGGATCCAAAAGGCACACGAGGCGACTTCGAGCGAGACAAGTGGTCGGTATTTCTGTGCGAGGTTGGGAGAAAAGAGAGGCACACGAAGCACAGGCAACACAGAAAAGTCGAGCCATGGAGACGACGCAAGAGGTAGCCGCGATGACGGCGAGCCGGAAAGAGCAGGAACAGTCTCGACGGGAAATCGCAATTACGACCAGCGCTTGTTGGCCGTGGCGACGTGCAAATGCGAAGCGCAGTTGCCCGAATGCTGGCTAAAAGTTACTTGGGTTGGAGGTGCGTGAGCCACGAGGAGCAACTCGGCGAGCCAAGCCAGCCGTTGCCCACCGGGCCCCAGGACGTGCTAAACGCACGCTAGAAGCCTTGATCGCCCTCTCTGCTGGTCTGCCCGTTCCATCATGGAGGGCGAGGTGAAGAGCGGTCGAGCAACTTGGGCGGCCAGGCGGACGGGCGTCGAGATGCAGCCGGAGGTGCATGTGAGGAGAACCTCGTCGGGGCAATCAATGCTGTGACACCGAAAGAGGGGGGGGCGCCTCTTGCCGATTGAGTGAGCGTTGAACCGACCAAGCAAGTTTCACGCTCGGCACAGCAACACCAGTCCAAGGTCAGATGGAAACACTGAAGTCGGGTAACCCGGTGTCTCCTTCCGAATTCTGAGCGGCAGTTGGCGTCACCAAGAGGAAAGGGCGGGGCCAACTGTACAGTCGCACATTAGCTCGCATCTGCAAACGCTGCTACTATAATTTTCTAATTTTCCGATTTTTAGATTTTTTAAAAGTGCAGAGTTATATAGAAAAAATTCCTCCTACCTTAATATACAAATTAAACTTTACACTATAATTATTCTAGATTTATATTAAAACTAGTTCTATATTATTTCTAAATTATTTCTAAATTATTTCTAAATTATTTTAAAATTAATTTTAAATTAATTCTAAATTATTTCCTACTTTAATATACTAAGACTATATAGATAGCTTAAAAGTCTTAGAAAGACTATTTAATAATCTCTTTAGTATAGTATATTTTATAGAGATATTTTATCTTAAGTTAATAAGCTTCTTAATAAATAAAATAAAGATGCTATTAGCCTTTAAATATTATAATACTAGCTTTTAGCTTAAGAGCTTTTAGGTATTTCTAAAGTATATATAAGAAGCTTAGAGCTTTTATATAAAGAGATTTTAGAACTATTTATATAAGAGATACTAATTAAATTAATTTACTACTTTATTAATAAGATTCTTTAGTAATATAATTAGCAACTAGTAAGCTTATATATACTAAAGATATAGCTTTCTTACTAGGGATTAGTATAGCAGTAAAATATATAAATTATAAATTAACTTATTAAGTAGATTTAATTCTACTTCTTTTTCTATAGATATTTTAATTAATTAATTCTTTAGAATTTATAATAATATAATAACTTTTAATATTTATTATATACTATTTATAAAGTTTGCTAGTAGAATTATATAAAAAGGCATATTTAAATAAAGTAAAAGTAAATTTAAATTCTTTCTAAAGTAATTTAATTTCTTAAAAAGAACTTAAAGTAAATATTAGTAATTTATAGATTTAGTTATAAATATCTTTACTACTATATATAATAAAAAGTATAAGTACTAATTTTATAAAATTAGCTTTATAACTTTTATTAAACTATTTTTCTAGAGAAAGTTTAATACTAAAGAGAAAGTAATATATAGTATTATATTAACTTTTAAGTACTTAAGCTAAATTTTTTATAGTACTTAAATAAATATAAGAAACTTAAGAAATATAGTATTTAAATATATATATATATTAATATATACTTATACTATATTATTTAGTTTTACTATAGTTACTTTACTATAACTATACTAAGCATGCTTAAGTAGTATTTATCTATAGTTTAATGCCTTAGAATGCAGCTATTCTTTATAAAATTAAATTATAGCATTAAGACTTCTCTATAAATAGTAGCATAAGTAATACTAGTATCTACTAGAACTAGTTTAGTTTTCTATTGCAATATAAATAGAAATTAGTTCTTACTTATATAAGAAGATTAAATTACTTTATACTATATATATATATCTAGTAAATAAAATATTAAAATTAAAAGCTAGTAGTATTACCTCTATATAAGCGCCTCTAACTAATAAATATCTTTCTTTTATAAATTAGCTAAGTATACTTTATTTATTAAAGGCAATATTAAAGACTAAATTGCTCTTTATATAGTATATATACTTCTTATTTAAGATAAGTTTACTAACTTTATTACTTTATAGAATAGCTATAAAATTTATATATAAAGAAATTATTAGCATATTAAATCTAGAATTTCTATAGACTTATATTATATATAAAATGCTTTAAACTAGAGCATTCTACTAAGTTCTAATAATAATATAGCTAATTAATAAGCTCTATATAATATACTTATACTACTTTATAGAATTAATATTAAATTATTTCTTACTAAAATTACAAATAAATAGTATATAAAACAGCTAGAAAAGCTAGAATATTTTAATTATAAACTTAATAATTATACTTCGCTTTATATATTAGTCTACTTTTTACTATAAAATTAAATTTAGAATTATTTTAGAACTAGTTTAGAACTAGTTCTAGAACTAAGTTTAATTCTATATAGAGAAGCTTAAATATATATATAGTAATATTAATCTACTAATTTATATATATACTAATTATTTATAGTACTAACTTCTTTAAGATAATTTTAAGCTATATATAAGATTTAATCTTTAAGGCAATTTACTTTTATAAAACCTCTAAAGGCAAATATAATACTTCTAGAATAAAGAAATTAATAGTAGCTAGCGCTTTTATCTCTTTTAAATAAGTTGCTATCTCTCTAAGCTATAAGTGCAACTTATAGAACTTTCTATTAAAGAAGACTCTACTTGCTCTTTAGGCTGTATAGTATTATTAGCTATAAAGCTTATAGAAAGTAAATTATTAAAGCTTATTAAACTACTCTACTTAATTAAGTAAATTAGTAAAGCTAATAACTTTATATTTAGAGAGAGTATTATAGTTAAGAGTAAATTAAATATACTTAAAGTTAGTAATTATAGTGAATTAAATTAAGTCTTATTTATATTTTTTTATTGCAAATATAAAAAATAGAAATATATTTAAACTAATATATAGCTATCTTTAATATTCTATTTATATATATTATTCTTATAGAATAAGTTAAAGACTATATATAATATAGTATATATTTAAGGCAGAAGTTAAAATAATCTAGCCTACTTAGACTATATTTATTTAAGCTTAAAAGAGATATTATTATTAAATTATACTATAAAGCTTAGTTAAATATACCTATTTATTTATTGCTTTTTATATAAAAGTTTATTATTAATATTTAACTATAAAAGTAGCTAAAGTTTAATTAAGCCTAGTAGAACTAGTTAGTAAAAATATAGAAGCTAGTTTTAAATTAGTTTGTAATTAATTTATATCTCTACCTAGTTTATTTATTTTTTTAGAAATAAAAAAGCCCCCTTAAAAAGTACTAACTAATAGTAGTAAAATAAGCTAAATAACTACTATAAATCTAGTTTTAAATTAATTTTAATTGGAACTACTTAGAAAGTACTATAGTAAAGGCAAAATTAAGTATTTAGATATTAACTTTAAATCTTATTATATATATAATATAATACCTTAAAGCAATATTTTTACTGCTAGTTATATAATATTTTGCAGTAAATAACTAGAAGAAAAAGATAGAATAAAGAGTAAATTAAGAAGAGAAAAGAGGGAAATTAAGAAAAGAGAGAAAGTAAAGAGAAGAATAAATAAGTATTTTTTCTTTGACTTAGTAATATAGAGAATACTAGTACTAGAAGGTAGTTAAAGCTTAGTGCTTATATATATATTTTTAACTATATACTATAGAATTTAACTATAGCTAGTAAGGCTAGCAATAACTATATATATATAGAAATAAGCAGCCTTTATAAAGTAGCTAGCTTAAGTACTAGTTATATAGCTTTATAGCTATCTAAAGTAATAAATATATTAAATATAACTACTAGATATTACTATAATAAATATATATAAATTACTTCTCAACTATTTTAAGACTAAATTAAGCTAAGATAATAAATAATTTATAATTTTTTTACTAAATATATTTTAAAGAAATATATCTTTAATTTATTTATAAAATAACTTAAGTAACTAATTTAAAGAAATAAAATATAAAAGCTAAGTAAAAAAGTAAAGTTAAAAAAAGTAAAGTTAAAAAAAGTAAAGTAAAAAAAGTAAAGAAAAAAAAATAAAGGAAAAAAAACAAAAAAAAAATAAAAGAAATAAAAGAAAAATAAAAAACAAAAGAAAAATAAAAAACAAAAGAAAAACAAAAAATAAAAAACAAACTAATTAAACTAACTAAACTAATAAAAACATTTCTAAACTTTATAAGACTAGTTAGAGCAAGGGGGGAAGCATTCTATAGCTATTAGTATAAATTATTTCTAATTTAATTTTAATTTTAACTAACTTACTATATAAAATAAATATATAAATATTATAAGCTATATTAAGCCTCTAGAAACCTACTATATAGTATATCTTAGTAATTATAAAAAGGCTGTCTTTATAGTATAGTAGCTATATAATAAAGAGTATATTATATTTAGTAATATACAGTATATTATTTAGTAATATACTAAGTAAATTCTATTAGCTAGAATTAGTTCTTAACTAGTTTATAATTATTTAGTAAGTAGTTTATACTATTTCTATATTTTTATCTTTATTCTTAACTTTATTTTTATTCTTATCTTTATTCTTATTCTTTTTATCCTTAGAAAGAGAGAGAGAGGGGGAGAAACTTAGAGGCAGGAGCAGAGGCAATAGCAATAACAATAATAATAATAACAATAATAGTAGCAGCAGCAGCAGCAACAGCAATAATAACAACAATAACAACAGCAAGAGCGAGAGCAGAGGCAAGAGTAAGAGCAAGAGCAAGGGCGACTAAGCAGGCAGCTTAGCAGTATTCTATTAAAATTAGTTCTAATCTCTTTTCTAATTACTTTATAAGTAGTTTAGGCAGTATATATACTATTCTTAGTTAGCAGTATATAGCAGCTGCTGCTTTAGTATTAGCAGTAGCAGCTTTATTATATATAGTTTAAACTACAGTATTAGTAGTAGTAATAGCAGTAGTAGTTAGTAGCGCAAGAGTAGAAATAGAAATTGCCTTAGAAGGCATTACGCCTTGCTGTATAAGCTTATATAGTGGTATTATACTTAATTATATAGTATGCTATTTACTTTAAAATAGTAGAATAGTTCTCTAGGGAATAAAATTAGCTAGCTATTTTAAAATTATTTCTAAGTTAGTTCTAATTATTACTTTTATTATTTCTACTAAAGAAGACTTATAGTATTAAATTTTAACTTAAAGATAAGCTTATTAGTAAGTTGCTTCTCTAAGTTTAAGTATTACTAGTATTATAGTAATAACTTATATCTATAAGATATTTTTTTTTAAGTAGTATAAACTAGTTTAGAAATAATTTAATAAGATAATAAAAGTAGTTTAAGTTTATAGAAGGAAAAAAAGAGATATAAAGGTTAAGAAAGATAAGTCTTACTTAAATAATAAAAATATAGTAGCTAGATATTTACTTTTATATTAATTTATATATTACAAGATAAAATTACAAAATAATATATATATTTATAGAGAGTATAAGTAAATATATAAGTTTAAGTAAGTATCTTATATAATATTAAAGTTAATAATAATTATAAAGATATATATAGCAATTAACTATAATTGCAAAGACGTGTATAGCGCTGCAGCAAATCAGCAGAATGCAAATTAGGAAAATCGTAGTAGCAGCATTTGCAGATGCAAGCTAATGTGCGACCGTACAACTGCCATCCAATCCAGCCTTGGCAATGCAGAGCCTGACGTCATCCTTCCCGATTGTTGGTCCGGTCTGTCCCCGGAGAACGCACGCAGTGAGCTTCTCAGCCCGCACAGCTCATGCCGAGGATTCCAGCCAAACGAGGAGATGAGGGCTCGGTCATGCGGCTCAATTCAACATACAACACACTTTGGTATTCGGGACGCTTGTTTTTCCAACAGGGCCTTGCGACCACGGGCTTCTATTTTGCAGCAGCCTCGTGCCCTGGGTCTCGTGACTATAGCCGCTGTGTACCAACATCCATGTGTGTGAGTCTGTGTGTGCAACTAGACCTCTGAACAAAATAGTAACTTTCACACAATTATAATTTATATAATATTACATATTGTACTGTAATTATTTTATGCAATATCTCATGTACTATATTTTACATGTTATATTACAAAGTAAAAATACTTGCAAGCATACTATTAGGACAAAGTCTCCATCTTCTTCTTTTCTTCTATATATAAGCTCAGCAACAAGGTCTACACTGGATAATTCAATTTAGCTACATAGAGCTAGTTGAGCTCTTTAAAATATCGTCAAGATGGGCGCCGTAAGCAGAGCACACGAGGGTCACACGCGAGCCTGGCGACTTCTCCGTAGCTAGGTAGCATGATAATAAAGACTGTATTGATCTCTGGAGCCCCTTCCACCGTCGAGAACATCGAGACAAGGTCACTGCAGTTGTGCCAACAACGCGAGAATGTTGTGGTCTGATCGAGGCCGAAATACATGGAGGCGTCGGCGACGTCGTGGAAGGAGACATGGACATTCGTCAAGGCCATGACTAGCGCGTATACCAGTCAGCCCGCGGCGCTCACAAGATCAAACAGGATAGCTGACTCGATCATCAACGAGTCAGGGGCGCCACGGACCGCCAGGCTTGGAGGCGTGACATCTGAGTCGCGGCATGAACCGAACGGCGGCGTCTTACTCAATTCAGGAGCGCGCCGGCGATTGATGTAGCCCCCGGGCAATACGTGCCTGGGGCCGGCCGTCATCTGCACCGCCGCCGGATTGCTCGTCGTGTGCGGCAAGGGCTGTGTTGGTTGTCAGTAGCCGGAACATGGTCCAGACTCGAGAGCAATAACGGATCGTGTTGTGCCTTGTTTATGCGGCGGCAACGCTCCGACTTCTCTCCCAAGTCTCGTGACGTGCATGGACCGTTGCTGCGATTCTTCTTCCTGCTCTTATTTCCGTCTCCTCTTGTTTTGTGTTTGCTGCGGCAACTATTGCATAGCCAGCCCAGCAAAGTGTCTTTGTGTCCAAGTCGAAATCAAACAGCGGCAGACGCACTCCAAGCCGAGCACATCAGCGTCGGCCATGCCGCAACCACATTTCACGGCGTGCCCTGACGAGCGCTCCTGTCATGCGCGGTTGACAAGACGTTGACAGGCGTTTGCGTACTGCGGTGCACGGTGAATATATGCACGGAGCACCAGACTTTACCTGCTTTATTGGGATCACCCAGTTAAACCTCCAGCTCGAGTCATAGCCTCTCATGCTACGGGCCAGGCTGATGAGCCAGGGAAAGCAGAGAGGGGCACGGGGATTTCATGCTCCAGAGTCCAGACGGAGAGCCAAGAGAAATGCCGATTCACAGAAGTTGAAAAAAGAAATGATGAAATGGAATAAAATAAAAAAGTACATAAACAATAGCAATCCTCCCCCGTCACTCCAGCTCCTTCAGCTTCCAACCTCCAACTCTCTCGCAGACTGAGCCAACCGACTCCCTTATCAAGAGCTTCTTCTCGGACAAACCACCATGGTGCCACATTCACGGCTGGCTCTTCTGGGCCTGTGCTCGCTCTCGTGGCTATCTGCCATCCATGGCGCCGCTGTTCAGCCATCGCCAACGTCAAACCCTGGCGAAGAGGATCTCATAGATCTGCAGACTGCGATTAATGGTCCTGCGCAAGTCTTGAGGCCACGGGGCGGTTCCTCGCCCCCCAGCGTCGTCTACCGCGGCGACAACGTCAACTATTCCCCAGACTACTATCGGAAGCTAGGGGGCATACCGCCCGAGTTCTCGGGGCCCTTCACAAACGACTCCTTCAGCCTCACGCTTCACCACTGGGGCGACAACGTGGGACCGTACAGGCACAATAACTACTCGTCCGCGTACGCCTCGACATCGGGCAAGTTTGGCATCGCCATGGCCTTTTCCCAGTGGGACTCGCAGAAAGTCAAGCTCAACGCGTTCGACGGCTGGGTGTACGAGATCCAGCCCACGCCAAACATGATTGACGTCGTGGCATCGGGGGTCAAAATTATGTTTAAAAGGGACGAGGCCGAGTACGCCGCCATGGGCAAGATCGCATGGCAGCAGGTCAAGCGGTACATTTTCGTGCCCAAGAGCATTACCCCCAAGCTGAGGTACATGGAGTATGAGGGCTTCGCGCCAAGTACCATCCCGACAAGAAGTGGATCGAGAATCCCGACTACAACCCCGAGTATGACGGATGCCGCGCCGGCGGAGCGCAGCCAGACCTCGTCGGCGACCCTCTTCGGAGGGTGTCGTGTCCTGCGGGCAAGACGCTGGAGCGATTGGCCGTCGAGTTCATGGACAGGAACGGCGCGGTCGTGGGCTGGAATGGCACGTTCCCCTTGGATCTGAAGGCGCCCGCGGATTTCAGCAGCGGCATCTGCGGCGGCTCCGCCCACGTATGAGACGGCAGCTATCACGATGCCCTCTTAGGCCGCGCGCGGGCCTGTGCACAAAGGGCATGAGGCATCAAGGGCTTGACGCCTCGGTCATCCGGGTCAGCTCACGCACGCAGCCATCTTGCTGTATGTATGTAGCCCCCTGGTCGGATCCTCCGGATTGAGCAACCAGGGACCGCGAGACTGTACCATCTCATATGATTATCTGAGTCGTTTTCTCCAAACCTTGATCATCGTGACGAACACGTAGAAAAGAAGACCAGCCATCAGGAGCAACATCACCACGTACGTGCCCGTAAGCTACGTAGAGGTCTAGAATTCAACTACCGTCTCACAACTACCTATGCGTAAACTCAAAAGCTGGAGAAGAAAGAGAGGGATAAGCAAGACAAGGAGAGCTCGAGGGGCTCCTGAGCACAGCCAACCGACACGTCTCGTCACCCTGGACGCGTTGAAGCGCACATGCCCCCGGAGACCCAGCCTGCGGCCGAAATCAAGGTTGGATTACCTCACGAGGCTCTCCAAAGCATTCGACGAGACGACCCGGGTGCCATCTGAAAGCCAACCGACTCAAGTATATAGATGCCTCGTCAGACGTGTTTCAAATCCGGACCCAGAGTCGCCCGTTCAGCAGCCCAGCCGTCTTCAAGCAGCTCCTGCCCGTCTCTCAACATTTCTTTGGTGTCTTCAACTTTGCCTTCGTTGGTGTCTCCAAGTTTGCATTCGTCGGTGTCTTCGAGTTTGCAAGCCGGGGATTGACTTGCAGACCGCAATTTTGGGCGCCCGCCTGCGCCCCTTGCTGGTATATTCCCCAGACCTCCATCAGCAAAGCGCACGTCTCGCACAGGGAGATGTAGTTTCCGCGTCGGAGCTCGCCGCAATCCTCTCGGCCGAATTTGATGATGTTGCCTGCCGGTCGTCATGTCAGCCCTCGGCCCTCGCCTTGGACGGGAGTGAGTCTCCCAAGCCAGCAGATGATCGGCGTCTTACCGCAGGCGGCGTGGCAAGCAGTCTGGTCCTTGGAAAGGCCCATACTGATTCCGACAGCGCTCCAATCGACTTGCCCATCCGTCGACTTGCTCTGCGTTGCCACGTCGGCCTCGCTCGTCGCGGCGTTGACGCCCGGGGCAGCGCCGCGGTGGCCACGACACTTTTTCAGAGCCAGATTCACGCCGTGGCGATAGTTCTCCTCCATTAGAGGCCCGAGTCTTTCACTGGCGAAACAGGACTTGCAACTCCTCTCCCATATCTGCCAGTCATCGGGGCAGTCGTCCCCGCGTCTGTAGCTCGACAATATACCTATCACGTAGACGGTATCAGCTGGTGTCTGGTGTCAAGAGATGGGCCGAGGAGCAGGAGACGCCATACCGCAGGCGTAGTGGCAGTCATTCTTTTCGTAATCGGGGTGCCTATCCAGTTGGGGGTCGCGACCGCAAATTCCAAGAGCTTTTTTCAAGCCAGGGGCCCACGTGGTGTTGAATTCCGTGCCGTCATGCACTTTGTGGAAAATGCAAGTCTCGCAACTGGCCCAATGTTCCTCCCATCCGGAGCCGCAGCCTTCCTTGGCGATGAGCTGAATGACGAGACCTGTTACGTCACGCCGTGTTAGCAGCTGCTGTCGTGAGACGAAGAAGCCAGCACCGTACCGCACTGCTTGTTGCAACTCTCTGCATGTTGCCGGGCCTGTACCTCCATGGGTACGCCGTATTCCGTCTTGTTCACGTTGGGGTCGTTGAAAATGGTTGCATAAGCCTGAAGCTCATTCACTGCTTGTGGCGGAATAGGGGCAGCCGCTTTGGCCAAGGAGGCCACGGCCACGGCCAAAGTGGCCGATGCCTTGATGAAATGCATAGCTGAGACGGATGTCAAAGTCTGCACGAAAGATCAGTTGACAGAGGGAGGGGGAGGACCATGAAGGACCAGTCTGAGAGAACAACAGGGAATGGTGGCTATTTATCTCAAGGCCACATGGTGCCGTCTAGGCAGGACACCTCTGGGCGTGCGTAGGGGCAGAGCAAGGCCTGGACTTCGTCTAGACAATCCATCCAGGACGGCCTGCTACCACATGGCACCATTGTCTCCTCCTTACCGGCATAAACAACGCCGACACCCCCCCCACAAACTTGCTCGTCAGTTCACTCACGGCCAAGCGTACCAGGATCAGACGGCAGCTGGCTCTGTTGCGACGAATAGGCTGTCTACAGCATGCAGTTTTGCCGGGTCACGATGCCTCTGGCAGCTTGAAATATGTGGGAAATCGCATGTTCGATCCGCAAGCGTTGTTGAAGCACCGTCTTCTTCTCCATGATGACCACGACTGACTCTGCTCAACTTGGCTGGGATGCGTAAACGGCGCCAATGTAACGTGTGGTCCGACATGCCGGAGCGCAGCTGCATCTCTTGTCGAGTGGGAGCGGCCAACCTGACGTCCTCTTGAGTGGAGTTTGTTTCTCCATGGGGCGCAACGTTTGGACCCGCACTGCTACAACTGGCATCTGTAATATCCGTCGTAGGAGACTATACTCGGCTTTAGCAGGGTTGTGCTTCGGTTTTAGCCCTCGTATCAGAAGACTATGCTGATGTCGGATTCTGCTCTTGGCAATATTGGAGCGCGAATGGGGCACGTGCGGGTAGAGCCATGGTAATGGGAGAAATAAGTGGGTACGAGGGGTGCACGAGTCGTGGATATTAAATGGTTGATAGATTGATAAGATTAGATCACGACTCGCTGGGCGTGTGGGTCGGCTCTCCTAACCGTTCCCGGAATCCGTCAACGTGTCAAGGAGGCTCTTTTGATCACGCACTGGCGCATTTCAGATGTTGAATTGGCCGCTGCGACGTCGACTGGTCGCATCCATCAACGTCATGGCCCATGTGCGGGCGTTGTTCCGTTCCCAAAGGATGAGCAGCGAGCACGTTCCTCTCCGACTGAACATCTTGTGCCGATGAATATGTGCCGTGCGCGAACATGACATGATTGATAGATACCTGGCACGGAGTTGTCTTCCCAGACTTGATGGATCCAAAACCGTCTCGGCGTGGAGACCAAACATCAAAGGCGTGTGTATCCGACACGTTGTTCCCAGGGCACCACTCGTCAGAAACCCCAACTCGGCAGCGCAGTCCTGGGCCCAGGCCCGGAGCAGATGCTACGCGCCAGAAACCTTTTTGATCCATCCGCCAAGGCGAGAAACGTCCGTGAAAACAGTGGGATACCCCCTGCGCGGGACCAGCGTCCCATACGACACAATGCCAACCACCTTCTTGCGCGCGACGTGATACAAGCCGCCGCCGCTGTCGCCCTGCCTCGCATTCTTCAGCCCCTCCATGTCCCCGGCGCAAAGGTTGTCGCGCCCTATGCCCCCGGACCGCGCATATCTGATGGCGCACTCCTTCCAACTCACGACCCTTGACGCCAGGGACCGCAGACGGGTCGTGCTTTTCATTGACATGGAGTACGCGTGGCCCCATCCAGCAACGACGACGTCGGCGCCGGCGCTGGGCGCCTCGTCCCGCGGTCCGGGCAGGTCCGCGACGGCGACGGTCGCACCGAGCGTCAGGTTGTGCGCGAGCCTGAGCACGGCGACGTCGTTGGCAAACCTCTTTTTCGGGTCGTAGGACGGGTGCGTCGTGATGCCGGCCACCTTGACGAGCTGCCCACCCGAGGACCAGGAGCTGCTGCCGGCGCGGACCAAGAAATTGTCGCGGTCCCACTTGTCGTCGTCGTCGTCGATGATGCAGTGCGCCGCCGTGAGCACGCTGTCCGGCCTGATGATCACCCCGCCGCACACGTGGCTGGGGAAGCGGTAGCCATAGAACCCATCCGAGGACGGGTACGGGAAGTAGTACTGGAGGGATATCTGATACGGGAATTGCTCGATCGCTGCGTCGACGCCGCCGACGAGCTTCGCTGAGGGGTGCGCGGCCGTGGTTGTGGCCGTGGCCGCCGCTGCCACTGCTCTAGCCAGCTTGGCCACCTTCATGATGCCGGCTGAGGATTCTTGGTTCGGCAGATGTAGACGAGTGGTACGGCGGGAAATTCTCTGAGTCTATGGCACACGAGGGCGGCTGGGCCATGTTAAATAGGATGCCTGATGTGTCATGACGGGCTCTCGAGCCGTCGTCCTGGCAGCCGCAGCGCCGTCACCATGCTTTGATGGCCACCAAACGTTGTCGTGTGCCGGCCCGCGTCCAACAAAGTCAGCATGTTATGGCTGCTTGTGTCTCTGTTCCCCTTTTTCCCTTTCCTTTTCTTCCCGTTTCGATCCCTCGTGAAGCCGTGTCCCTGCCAAAGCCGTCTCCCATGTCCACCAGGACGGACGGCTTTGTTCGACATTGCTGGTCCGCCACTCTAGACAAACGTATCCAGTCTAGGGTTGGCCGAGTTGAATTCTCGGCCCGGACCAAGATGAAAAGAGTCGAGTGCGATAATTATGCTTTGCTTCGTTGGTCAGTCGCTTAATGTATGGTTATCTAGCAAGGTTAAACTGTGCTGCCTCCTCGCCCAAGTCGCTTGCTTGGCTGACTGCAGATGAAACTTGCGCACCAAGCTCGACTCTTGTTGCTTTGTGGAGCCGCCAGTCATTTTCCATCGAGCTAGAACTCGACCAGAGACAAGCTTGGGCTGTGGAATCCTCGACTTTCGACTCTGTACGGTTAGCCACTGGATGCCTCCCGGCCCCGCGAGCTAAGCCTTGTCATGGTGCCTTTTTGTTAGCCTCTCTGGCACATGTAACTGCTTAGAGGCAGTGTTTAGCTCCAATCGTACCATTCATGCCGTGCCTTGGAGATGCTGCGGACAACATTCGCCCAGCCTTGACCGAGTCACTCCCACGCGTCGAAAAGGTTCGGGGATCGGTCGGATACCAGATCCAAAGTATACGGTGCCTCGTTTCGAAAATGCCTTGGTTCTTCGCTCAACGCACCACTAGATATATATCATGCATACCACTCGGCAAATACACCATCTTCATCACAGCGTCCAGAGCGCCCCTGTCGAAGTCTCCCTCATCTAATTTTCAGCTCACCACTCAGCCCTTGCCTGCCGATAAACGTCCTCATCCCTCTATCCACGCCTGCAACCAACCTCGCGAGAACCTGCACGCCAGCCGGCAGCACATTATACCAGTCCACCCAGCGGGCGTAAAGCGGCATGCCTAACGTCGCACCCTTGCCATTGTCGATGGCCCCAATGATCTCCTTGGCGACATCGACGGGCTCCACGACGGGGGCAAAGAAGCTGTTGGGCGTCTGGACTCCGTAGAATAGGGGCGTGCTCAGCTGTCCGGGGGTGACGAGCACGGTCCGAATCTCGGGGTGTGTCTCGCGCAACTCGGCCGTCAGAGAGCGGTGCATGGCCGTCAGACCAGCTTTGGCAGCAGCGTAGTCTGTCAATTTCGCAGCGCCGAGGTGTCCGATAACAGAGGAAATGTTGACAATGGTGCCTCCGCGGCCGCCGCGGATCATGGCCGGGAGGAAGGTCTTGAGGCAGTAGAATGGGCCAAGAAGGTTGGTGGACAGGCTGGCGTCGATTTCGTCCAAGCTCAGATCGAGGAGAGACTTGCCAATGACAACGGCGGCGTTGTTGACGAGCACAGTTGGTGTTCCGATCTGTGTGGACAGATTGGATCACGGTCAGCACCTGGGATCATTTCCCACTCCTGTTCAGATGGGAGGATGGGCACTCACATCCCTCTCGATCTCGCCCGCAACCTTGCTGACCTGTGCCTTGTCGCCAACGTCACACTTGTAATAGGTGACGCCCCGCGCCTCCCCGTTCTCCATCTCATTCACATCCAACACGGCGACGTTGGCGCCCCTCATGCCGTACACCTCAGCGACCAGCATGCCCAGCCCGCTCGCACCGCCCGTAATCACAATCACCTCCTCGCTCAGGTCGACCCCTCTCGGAAGCCCATACGCAATGCGCTGGTTGATGACGCCCGCCATCCAACAGAGCGAGATGAATGCGGCCCACGCTATCGACGCAATCATGCGGGGAGCTTCCCATCGGACGGTCTGCGCCCGGAGGCACAGCGGAATCAGCCAGCACACAAGGGGATGCAGAAATGTCGCTTTGGAGACCTTGACCATGAGGTCAATGGATAGAGGGGCGAACAGGGAGTCGCCCTGAGGAGGGCGTACATGGCTGCTCGCAGACATGGTGAGGCTGACGACGAGCCAATGGCAGACAAGAAAATACGGCGGGGTGAGGGAATGCGCAGACTGGCGGCGCTCAGAGAGCACCAAAAGAATCTTGACGGGAGATTTCTTGAAGAATAACCATCGGGAATCAACGTGTTGGAGAGGAGAACGTTGATCGAGCTGGCTGGACCAAGGCGACGTGACAAGCCATGGGGTTATGTGAAGCACCAAACAAGCCCCTGGTTCAAGCTCCAGCGCTGCGTGGGGCCCTGCGCATGTCAGTTGCCCCCTCTGCAGCAGCGGCTCAGCGGCGGCTCAGCGGCCACCCGCGGAAGCTGTACAGTGGACCTGGAGCACGTCACGGGCCGCGGCCAATCAACGGTCGAGCCCTCGCGGAGCATCATGTTGCAAAATGCGTCGCCGCCGAATACCTACCTACTTACTTGGTATGCAACGTCGTCTACGGGCAATAAGCACCTAAACTTTGCCCGGAGCATCAGCCCGTCGTCAATATGAGTTCCAACTCCCGCACGCCCACGTCGTGACATTGTAGAGCCAGCGCCCTCACGTTGCTCCTATCCGGGACCGATCCCAGCAGCATCAGGAACAATCGCACGGCTCCGAGACCGAGATGTCTAGTTTCCAACCATGAAGAGAGAGTTTAATGTTCAATACTGTACAACACGACTGCCGCATCTACCACCTGCCACTGCCGGCTGCGCTCCCATCCTCATCCTGGCCAACATCATCAACACAACCCCCCCTAGCATCGTGATTTCTCCTCGCCCTCTCAGCCGCCCTCTCCTCCTCCTCCCACTGCATCTCCCGCCTCGCCGCCTCCTTCCTCCTCTCATGCCACGAGACATCCCGCACGATTCCCTCCCTCCTCCACTTCCGCGGCGGCTTCACCCCAACCGCCGCCTTGCGCTCCCACACCTGCATCCCTCTCCTGAACCACCTCTCCTGCCGGTGCTGCTCCTCGTCCACCGACGGCGTCCACTTGCTCTTGAGAATCCGCCGAATCGCCTCCACAGACACCTCAAACTTGTCCGCCAGCGCCCGCGTCGTATACATGTCCGGGAACTGCGCGTTGAGCGCCCGTATGCCCGCCAGGGCATCCGGAGACAAGCGTTTCCGAGGCTTCCAGCCCTGCGGGAACTTTTCCTTGAGGGCCGCTTTCTGGACTTGCCATTCTTCCGGCTTTTGCGTCGCCTTCGCCTTCGCGTTCGAGTTGGGCTCGGGCGGCCGATGGAGAGATTTGCCCGCACCAGACCGACGATTTGGCGTCGACGCAGGCAGAGGCTTTTCTTTTGTTCGTTCTTTGTTTCGCTTTGCAGACTGGGACTCCTTGTCTGTCTCCTTGTCCGTCTTTCGAGCTTTTCGTAAAGGCTTGGCCTCGGGCGCAGCCGCCGGTTCCGTTGTACCCGTCACAGGTGCCCTCGTGTCCGCCGGGTCGTCCGGTATGACGGCCGACCTGGCGGCCTCTTGTCTCCAGTAGGACGATGTCGCAAGTCCATGGCCTCGGCTCGCGATGGGCAAAAGCCGCGGCATGGGATGCCATGGTCGAGCTGTGAAAGTCGGGACCTGCAGGTTATGGACCTGCGCTAGGCCCCGGACAAAATTTCCCCAAGGAGCTGCACGGCATGGACATTTCATCGTTGTCCAAAGGCGGGTCTCTGGCTTGCACTGCTCATTGCTCGCTGCGTCGAACCACCTTTGTGTGATTGAAGATGGACGTTGCAAAGAAAAGTCGGCCAACGGAACTGCGGACTCGGGGGCACGCCAATGGGTGGCAGGGATCCAACTATCTGGTGGGTCCATGTGGTCGGTTGGAGTGTTGGGACTTTTTTTATGTCATGGATTTGATTTGCCTCGCATCGTCAGTCTTAATAATAGTACACGTGCCGCCCTACAACATCGTCAGCCCCCTATTTTTGTTATACCTACCGCTTTAGCACAATACATTAAATTTAAGGCTTTTTTTAACAACAAGAGCGTATATTAGCTTTCTACAGCTAGAATGTAAATTCTATATTAGCTTAATTCTTCTCTATAATTTTAAGAGCGTCTTCTTTAATTATATAGCTGTAATATTCTTTATAAAGAGCTACTATATAGTTAGCTTTAGCTTTAGCTTTAATAATATTAGAAATAATAGTAAAAGTATAATTAAAGTTCTTTCTAATAAGCTTTTAGCTAGTAGGCTTTAAAGTATTATACTTAGCTTTAAGATATTTATTTTTAGTAGATAAAGTTACAATAAAATAGTTCTTTTAATTAAAGCTATAGCTAGCTTTTAAGGCAAAAGTATAATATTTATAATTAATACTATTAAAGTTATAGTATAGTAAATCTAGTTATACTTAAACCTTTTTACTATTATAAAGTATTTACTAAAGCTACTACTTATTAATTTTCTGCTGTTTTAGTGTTATAAGCTTATTATTACTATTATCTTTAATAATAAACTAGAGAGCTTACTCTATATTAGTAGAATAAATACTAGCAGCTTAAAATCTAGCTTAAATATTTGCTATTATAAAGGCTCTTTTAAAGGCTTTCTTATAGGCTTAAATAAATTACTGTTTTTACTACAGTAATAATATAGTAAAATTAATAAGGCTAGCTTGCTATTAATAATAGTAAGTCTTTAAGAGCTTAAAAATACTAATATTTAGTAGCTATATAATATATAATATATAGGCTAGAAGAAAAAGAAGCTATATATAATTAATATAAGTAGTATATATTAATTAAATTAAAATATATAGCTTAGTGCTATTTAAAATAAGAAAACGCTATAAGAAGAGGATTTTAAGTATTATTTCTAGTAGAAAGACCTCTTTAAACTATTTTATTATAATTTAAGTATTAGTCTAATTAGAATTACTATAAATATAGACTTAATATAGAAAATAGTTAGAAAACTATTATTCTTAAAGCTAGAAGCTCTTTAAGATAACTATAGGCTTAATATAGTAACTTATAGTACTTATATATTTAATAATAAAAGCCTACTTATAAAATAACTTTATTATTCTTATTAAATATTTAATAAAGCTACTTTTAATAACTTTACTAGCCTTAGAATCTTCTTTTATAATACTAGTTTTATTAAAGTTATAAATTTAAAGTACTTTAATAGACTAAACCTTAATTAAATAATTAAGAAAGTTATAGAAAGCTTATAGCTAGTTCTTTATTATATTAAGAGTTCTTTTAGACTTAATACTTTATAATACCTTTATTTTAACCTTTAAATTATATTTAAGAAAGTAGTTAACTTAATGCTTTCTAATAAAGTTATTATTACTACCTTAAGCTATAATAACTTATATAATAGCTTAAATATTATAATAGCTAAGTAGCTTTCTAGCTTCTTTTTTATATATAATTTAATTAACTAAGTCTTCCTCTTGTTTTTTTAATAGTTATTAAGAGCCTACCTTAGCTTCTTAAATTAATTAATAACTATAAAGTTGCTTATAAAGAGTTATTTAAGAAATAGTATAATTTTAAGCTGCTTAGACCTCTAAGAGGCTAGAATAAATATCTTTAATAGCAGCTTTAATTCTATTCTTATAAGAGATATTAGCAGGTACTATAATGCAAATTTAGAGTTAAAAGAGCTTAATTTAATAGAGTTATTAATAGTTAAAAAAAGGGCTTATACATTTAATTGCGTTGTTATAGATATAACAAAAATAGGGGGCTGATGATGTTGTGGGGCGGCACGTTACGTGCAACACAATTAGAGCGATCCACGTGTCAGGACGGAGTAGTAAGCCAATGCAGACCCATCTACTACTAATACTTATTTCATCGTTTCGCAAGGCCATGATTGTGTCGCCTTCTATGCTGCGCGGCCACTACCTTGGAAAGGTTCCGAAAGGACTCGCATTGATTTCTGACCAGAGCACTTCATAATATACAACTCTAGAATTTTATTCCCGTGGCTATTAAACGTCCGGTTCTAGAGCAAGATGGACAGCACAAAAGCAAATGTTCCTCTTCCCCGTAGCATGCAAACCCAATGCCGTGATCCCAGAACTCGGGATGCTCAGTAAAAGACCCTGATTCCAATACGCCATGGACCCTGTTTCCATAATATCACGCCTGTGCCTTTTAATTTTCGCTCATGATTACTTTGTCGTTCTCGCCTGTCCAAAACGAACCATCGAACATTACGCATCGTGCATCAGCTCAACCGGGGGACGAGCGGTATGTGCCATGATAGGTCGACAACTGTCAATAGGGCTCATGGCTTCGGGCTCTTGGGTCATGTCCTCGACAAAAACAGCAGGCAAGTCTGGACTGCACCCGTTCTCCTCCGGATGGTAGATGAGGGTCGAGCTACGGCTTCGAGTGCGCCCACCGGCACCAGGTCCGTCGACGGGGCTAATGGGAGATTCGGGTCCTTGGCGAGTGCTTTGCAGTTTAGAAAGTGCTTCAGCCAAGTCCTCGGCATGCACCAATTTGTTCGGAGCGTCCTCCAGACGGACCTCCCAACCATGGGGCGGACTGGGTGGCGGTGAGATAAAGAACAACTTGCCGGCATCAGGGAGAGCCAGATGCTCGTCCTTGGCCTCGATATTCGTCTGCTGTCCGAAGTAGACTCTGCAGCGATCACCGAGGATAGCTTCGCCATCCCAAACTTGACGGACGGCGATGGAAGAATCAATATCGAAGAAGGAAATGACGATGCGACGGAACGACTTGAGCGGCGCGAAGGCGTGGATTGGTGATGTCTTGGCGATTAGCCCTCGGATGCGCTCCAGGTTATCCGGTCGGAAGATATCCGTATTGTTGAGGCCGGTAAATAGGAGGGTATTTGATGGCGTCGTGGGCTGCGTCAGGGGAGGCAAGCTGGAGAGGTCCAAGGTAAGACCAGATTTGCGCGAAGACGACGAAGACGACCGTGAAAGGCGAGCGGTGCCATCCATCATGTCCATGATGTGTGCAGAGGTGGTCTTGTGGCTTGTTGTAGCGGTCAAGACGAGGCCAGTCGAACGTGGTGACGAGATTCGATGCCAAACTATCTGTGCTTTGCACCGCCTGGACGGCAATAGAACTTTTCAGCGTATTCTTGAGGAAAGTACTCGGTAACAAGATATGTCGAGGTTAAAAGGGAGGGCCAGATTGGTCGAGGACGGAAGAGGGAGACGCACTTAAAGAATGTCCCCGAGGTTGGGTTTTACGTGAGCATTCCCGGCTGGCTGCGGGGGCGACATGGAGGCAACCAGGTGATGCACTTGACTTGACGGAAAGGTCACGGAGACCCACAGTTGACACGACACAGCGCAAGGGAGTGGGTCGTTCTTGGCAAGTGGCCGCAAGCCCGGTCGAAGCGGAAGGAGCACGGTGGTGTGTGTGTGGCTGAGCCTTCCTGCTTGCCGCGCCGAACAACCGAACGGAGCCCGCAAACAATCCTGGGGGCACCGCCACGTCGCTGAGCCTCCCCTTCAAGTGCAAGCTTGCGACTCTGAAATTGCGAGTAATGCACCAAGCCTCCCGCAGGGGACCTGGCCAGCTGAGGAAATACGCTGCTGCCCTTGTTGACGCAGGCTGTGTCTGTGCTGTTGGCATGAGACAGCAAAGTAGCGCAGCGAGTTGAGAGAAGCACGCGCAGAGGGCGACGATGCGTGTTGCAGGCGCACAAAGCATCATGCATGCACGTGCAGAAAGCACTGCCTGCAGACGGCGGCATTTGCACCGGTTGGATTTTTTTCGGGCCGGCAAGTAACTATCAATCGCTGCTTCCGTCAAACTGCAAAGGTCGGTCGGTACTGCAGAGTCGCGACCGACGACGCATCAGCAATTCCTATACCAAAAACCAGTTTGTGTTGCCAACCCGAGCTTGCGAGTACGTGGCGAGCATCGGCATTGCAGCAAATCTCATCCACACCGTAGACTCGGGAGAGCTTGACGCTATTCTGATGCAGAAAGTGGCTTGAGGTCTACCCCGTCCTCGCCCACGGACGTGGCCGACTTTTCGAGCCAGTTTCGCATTCTCCATGGCTCGTCTTCCGCCATCTCTGAGGCTCAAGCATCGGCCGACTTGCCTTGTGCATGTGAGTCAAACCCTTCGCGGCTTGACCAACGTTGGGTGTGCAATGATTTCCGTCCCGTTTGCAAGGGACCGTCATCGCAAGGGATCCGCGCTAGTAGTGTAAGCCACGGGGCAGTGTTCCGGACATGGCGCGCTTGGCAACAAACAAGCCTTGACCAGAGTCACTGGACGGACAAAATGGGTATGCTCGTCGGTTTGGCTGATTGATGGACCCTGTGGCGGATGGAGGAGAGTACTAGTTGTACGCAGCACCTTGCTGAGAAGGATGCGTTCATGTTCACTCAGCCACTTCGACAACGCTGAGTCTGAAGTCATCCAGTTTCCCGGCCAGGGGCCTTTGGCCAGATCATGCTATGAATCGGATACCCAGCCCAGGTGAGTAGCTTTGCATTGCAGTCTTTGTCTTCCGTGCGCTTCTGTCGACGCTATCATGCCCGCTGACAGGGGTGTGTGAATCCCTCAAATTGTGGCTGTTGCTGTGCCCCGTTTTGCCCTCGTCATCATTTTGCCCGTGAAATACTTTGGCCCTCTGAGCCGGCCGGAGCCTGCCGGTGAGCCTGCCGGTGAGCCGAAGGGGAAATAAAACGTCGTTGCATGGCGTTCCCGGGGTACGGCATCCCTTTCCGTCCCTGATTCATGCCGTATGGCGCTTCTCAATCGTACATCGCCACATAGGCCTGAAACAGCCCCGGGAACTTCCCGATTATGAATTGTCGTTAGCATGCATTTCTATTCAGCGGGCCATGGTTCGTATCGATCAGCATACCGCTTCTTGGCTCAAACCCTCACAACTTACAAGATACCTCTGGGGTGCCTTGGCGGCGTAAACCCGATACGTGGTTGATGCTGCACAGCCTAGTGATGCAAAGTACTAGGCGCCATACTCGAAAAAACGCCTGGCAGCAAAGGCCGGTGCGGTGCCATGACTTGTTTCTAACTCTTCAATGCCGGGTCCAGCATTCCTCCCTCGAACCGTGACGTGACAGCTGCGTATCCGACTCCTGAGGATCGACGCCAAGAACCGGCACTGCCTCAATCATCTTGTCAACTTTTTTTTTTTTCCTTTCTTCTGCCACGACACCCTCGTATACTTGACCCGTCCAATAGGTAGCTCAAAGTCAGCGTGGAGTGCGAACAGAGCCTGGCCGTCTTTCCGGAGCGCAACTATGAGATGGCCATGTGGCGCGGCGGCCTGGCCGATGTGATATCGGTTCTTGCCACCGTGCCGAGGACGAGAGGCGGTGTATTTTTTATTTCGGGATTCGTTCAGATGCTCAGGGATGGTCATATCATGGCGTTTATTCATATTGATTGATACAGACGGCAGAGATGTGAAGTGAAGTGCGGAGCGGAGTGGCATCAAGCTGTTCGGCCGCTCAAATGGCAGGCGCGACTCAGCTGGTCAGCGGCTTTCGGCTGAGCAAAAACCCTTGAGGAGGAAAGAAATTACCTGCATGTCGGAGGGGCGGAGAACCTCAGAGCCAGTGCACAGAATAATACCTCTGCTCCGGCTACATGCTTCAAAACGCCTGTAGTGTCCTGTGGATTCTCACCAAGAAACGGCAACGTACTGTACATGATATTACGACACGAGGCGCTCTGCATCTATCTAGAGGGAACAATAGATGCTGACTCCATGTATCCTCTCAGCCCTTCGCAAAGGCCATCACGGTACCTCCCAGCCCAGAGACGCCTCAGCGAAGTTCAACACCTAGTTCCTTGACTAGAGCCTCCCGCACACCTCGGTGAAACTTGTTGGCTTGTTCGTTTGTCAGGGTTCGTTCCAGGCTGCGGTAGACGATGCGATAAGCCATGCTCTTGCGAGCAGTCTTTGGATGCACAAACTCATCAATGAGTCTCACATCCTCGACTACATCACCAGCCACGTTGCGTACGATTTCCATGACATCGTTCTCGTGGAAGCTGCCCCTTGTGTTTCCTCCGGCGGGTGATGTCGACGCCAGCCAAAAAGATACATCCTTGGGGCAGGGAGGGTACCTGGAGAATGGGACAAACCTCCTGAGCTTATCGAGTTTGTCAGACACGCCCGTGAACTGTGAGAGAAAACGCTGATCCTGGGACCAGAAGAGCCGAATGTCGGGAATCTTGAACAGCAGCATGGCGATGCGATCGATGCCAATACCAAAGGCCCATCCCAGTTGTGACGGCACGCCGGCATTGTTGTAGAGACTTTGTCTAACCACGCCACATCCCAACACCTCCAACCAGTCTCCCCCATAGTAAACTTCCAGTTCCCACGAGGGACTCGTGAATGGGAAATAGGCCTCCACCCAGCGCATACGCAGTGCCTCGTCGACAAAGGTGGGATCCTCCCGCAGCGCCGCGGCTTTGGCTCTGGAGAATACGTCAACGACCATGTTCTCTAGCGATCTCTTGAGGTGCTCTCCGATGGCCTGCGCCTCGGCAGCCGAGTGGCAATCTTGCAGCGGGTTGCGTTCACCGTGGTAGGGAGGGTTGGGGTCCTCGACGTCTACACTGTGTTTGGGTAGCGTTTCAAAGTCAGCCCGCACAGCAGCGGCTACATCTCCATTGGGGACCCTGCTCCGATCCCAGGACCTTGCTCCCTCCATCTGGTGGAAGACGGGGTAATGGCTTCGATCAATGGCATCTCGCCGGTATACATCCGCTGAAATGAGGTAACCGTCGCTCTCGTCCGCTCGGAAAGTGTCGGCCTGGTGTGCGCTCGTGTGTGTTCGGAGGAGAGTCTTTTCGTTTATGTAGTAGGTATCGGACAGGGCTCGCCCTGGGTGGTTTGGCGGAAAGCCAAGAGAGTCAAAGTTTTGGTGTGTTGACACGACGGGGTTGTATTCGTTGTAGTACTTGTATGTGGGCGAGGGAAAATTCGACTCGATGATCTGTCGGGTTATATACACAGGATGATCCTTTTGGAGGTGTAACCTCCGCGACGTGGCGTCTAATACATTCGACGGGACATTGAACCACGCGGGATCAGCGTTGTATGTGCCGCCTCGGATTGATATGGAGCTGCTGGAGGCTTTGGCTGGTTTCGGGGAGAGCAGGGTCCCTGTGCATGGGAAATCAAGTATTAACGCGGCTTCATTTGCTACAAGGTAAATCACACACTTTATGACAAACCTGAAGAGGAAAACTGTCGAACTACACGGGACGGCAGTGTTGCGATGGAGGCGCATCGAGAGGAGCACAAGAGGCCTCGCATGGCGCCAATTGAGATTGACATGCTGGCATCAGGGCCGGCCATGTGACTTCAGTCACACAACTCGTGGCCTTGTCGATGCGCTGGGAGCCAATTGTCTAGGGAACGATTAATTGAGGCCGTGATGTTGTCAATGCTGTCTTGTCTGTCAAGGTCGACCTCGGAGATTGGGCGGGGACTCTAGAGTCTGGATTGAAAGCTGAGGCAGGCTACCCTGTAGGCCCTGTAAGCTCTTTGGATACCTACCAACGGCTCCAGCAACGAAGGGACGTGCAATTGGATGAAAAACTTGACGGGCACATTTCCATGTATGCAAGATGCAAGATCCCGTCACAGTACTACTCCGTACGTGACTGCTGCACATTGATCTAGGCTGCTTGCTGCAAGTGCTTGCGCGTGGGTACCTACGTCACCGCCTACCTGTCGGGTCGACCGGGCGACTTTTCTGCCGACGTCCCCGACGACGACGACACTCGAAGCCGAACGTGAAGCACCGCGTGCCCTCACTCAGCTTGCTCACCTCACTTCTCCGTCTTGGATTTCTGTGCTGTACGGACAGACCGGCTCACCGTTTGCCAATTCAGCCAACAGGGTCGCCTTGCCACAGCTGTGCGATGCAGCTCTAAGCCGCAGCTGCTGACCGCAAGTCCCGTGCCCGTACACCATGGCCTCATCGGCTCGAGAGCCGGCACCGGTCCGCAGGCTCACCAAGGAGGAGCGGGCTGAGCAGCGCAGAAAGAAGAGAGGACCTCCAATTCGATATCCGTTTTGGTTTGGAGGGAGCGCAAGTAGCATGGCAGCGTGTGTGACACATCCCCTGGACCTGAGTAAGTTGGGCGTCCCCCCCTGGGGTTGGCCAGTTTGTGGCATGATTGACCTATAAATGTTTGCTAACTTTGCCAATAGTAAAGGCATGTCTCATTTCGCAGTCTTGCGTCGTGATTTTTTAACCAAACCAAGGAGCATCCTTCGCTAACATGGCAAACTTCAGGTGCGGTTACAGATGCGCAAAGGCGACGCTCCCAAGTCCATGAGCGGCACATTCGTCCACATCGTCAGGACGGACGGCCCCCTCGCATTATACAGCGGCATATCGGCCTCCCTCCTCCGCCAACTCACCTACTCGACTGTCCGGTTCGGCGTCTACGAAGAAATCAAGTCGAGATACACCAAGTCCGGCCGCGAGCCCACGTTCCCCGTCCTCACCGCCATGGCCATGACGTCCGGCTTCCTGGGCGGCATCGCCGGCAACTTTGCCGACGTGCTCAACGTGCGCATGCAGCACGACGCCGCGCTCCCCGCCAGCGAGCGCAGGAACTACAGGCACGCGGTCGACGGCATGGTCCGCATGGCGAGGGAAGAGGGCGCGCTCAGCTGGTTCAGGGGCTGGCTTCCCAACAGCAGTCGTGCGGCCGTCATGACGGCCGGCCAATTGGCCACGTACGACACCTTCAAGAGGCTGCTCATCGACTACACTCCGCTGGGCGACACCCTGACGACGCACTTCTCCGCGTCCTTCCTGGCTGGGCTGGCGGCCGCGACGGCCACGAGCCCCATCGATGTCGTCAAGACGAGGGTCATGTCGTCGACGCAGAAGCAGGGTGTTCTTCGAATAGTGGGGGACATTTACAAGACCGACGGTCTGGGATGGATGTTCAAGGGCTGGGTCCCCAGCTTCCTGCGCCTAGGGCCGTAAGTTCTCCCAGCTTGCCCCCGTTGCGGCTGGCCACAAAGCAAGACTAGCTGACCACCAGCGCGGGCTAGACACACCATCTGTACATTCATCTTCCTGGAGATGCACCGCAAGACGTATAGAAAGGTACAAGGACTAGATGAAAAGAAGCTGTAAAACAGCGACTGCGCGTGCGCGGACAAAGACGATGGGGCGTTACACATAGAAGGGGGGGGTGCTTCATTCGTTGCGTATTTTCGACATGTGTCCCACCAGCATTCTGATGGTCGTTGGGTCCTTGAAATGCCGCTGCGTTTCTGCTTGAAAACGGGGATACAGGCGGGGACTCTAGATTAGAAACTTGGAGCAATTTACTTCCAGATACATACAATACACACGGAATGACACGGTCACGCACAAGCTGGAGCAAGCATCAAACATCAAATCGTGAGGGAACTTTGCGCGAGCCTCCGGTCCCCTGTCCATACACGGCTCAGCTCGAGTGCGCCCAATTGCCGCCAATCTCCGTTTGCGCTACGGAATCAGATACTGTACAAAGCCTTAAAACGACAGCTCCGCGTAAATGTTTGCCTAAATTTGTTCACGAAACCAATGCTTTTCATAAATGGTCCGTCTGCCTGTTGCCGCCCAAACAACCCGTGAAACGCCGTGTCTACTTACTGCCACGACGACTGGCCATATGGCGTGGTGCCGTATGTACCAGCGCCGCCTCCATAGGCGGTGCTATTGCCTGCCCCGTATGCGGCATTCCCCTCGCCGTACGTAGTCATGTTGCCACCGTAGGGGGTGGTGTATCCGCCATCCTGCCATGGTGTAGTGCCGCCGTCCACGTTCATGTCTGGACTTCTGGGACCATCGAACTCCGCCGGCTCTTCGCCACCGTATTTCTTTGGGTCGAGACCCTTGAGGAGCGCGCCAATCTTCTGCTGGAGCGCGCGGATGCCGCCTTGCACGATTTGATCCGGCTCCATGCTGCCTGATGTTTCCACCTCAAAGTAGAAACGGTCGGGAACCGCATCGTAGTCGAATGGCTCGCCTTCTTGAGGAGGGTCTTCCCAATCTGCGTATTTGCTCTTGGGCCTGGACATGACTGTGATTAGTATCATGGCCCAGCGCATGCGAAGAGAGGAAAGCCGAGCACATACCATTCCTTTTGAGGGTCCGTGTTGTTCTCATACCACAGGTCCAAATGGTGCAGCTTGTTGTGAGGGTCGTACTCGAAGCCCACAGCTGACGTGGGCATCCACTTGGCGTGCTCCTTTGCTATGCCCTTCTTCGCGATACACGTGAGCTTTAGCTCCTGGTCTTTGCGCAGCTTGGCGATCAAGCATCCCATCCCCTCGGGGTCGTTGATAACGGGCGTCCCGACCTGGCTGGCATGGCGGCCGTCGACGATCAGATCCCGCGCGTACACCTTCATGATTTCATCGCTGGTGCATCGCGCGTGTAGGGTCAACGTAACGCTACACTGCTCGCAGTACTGCTCGCAGTCGCAATCTCGGGAATAGTTGAGTTCGTTGACGCCCTTGGCGTTGAGGGGAATGAGACCTAGCCTGTGCGCGATGAATTCGTCGGCAAGCACCGAAGTGTTGACTTCAACTTCGACGAGGTCGATTGCAATGGTGGGCACTTCGGCCTGGATGATTCTCCGTATCGAATTGGCAAACGAGAGGTTGGTTCTGGAGAGCGCGAAGTCCACGCGCGTGCTGTCGGCCTGCAGAAAGGTTGAAAGAAAGACAAGGACATGTTAGAAAACTTGCACCACGGCAAAGGGCCACAGCACCACTTTGGACTCGGGGCGCCGTACAGCTGAAATGGTGACCTGAGGCTGCTCGGGCTCGCCATCCATCACCATGGGGTCGTAGTCCATGCCGTCCATCGTCGCCGAGTCGGCACCGGCCCTCTGCCTGCGCGGAGCACGACTATTCACGGATCGCAAGGTGTTTCCCACACCACAGAGGCGAGTCTTGACTTGATTCGTAGATGGCCAGGGGCTGCGTTGTCGAGGGCAAGCAACCAGTGGCGGCCGTAAACGCGGTTTCGGTTCGCATGAATCTAGGCCTGCACCGGACCAGCAATAATCCGTGCGCGTCTTATCGCCTGCCTCCCGACGATAAGCAAAAAAATTCCCCGCCGCAAATTCCGCAGTCAAGCTGCCAACCAGCGCCACTTCAACCGTCCCGACATCTCCAATCAACCGCACACAATTGGAAGTCAAGGGAGAGGCCAGAAGAAAAGAGCCCGAACAAAGAAAATGAGGAAATAAAGAAAGGCGAGAACCATGAAGATCAAAGCCCTCAGTCGCTCCCTAGCGGACCACCAACCGCCCGGCTCCGACGCCGCCAAGATGCCTCGCAATCTCGATTCGGCCCTCCACCCATTCGAGCGAGCACGAGAATACCAACGAGCCCTCAACGCCGTCAAACTAGAGCGAATGCACGCAAAGCCCTTCATCGGCCAGCTTGGACGCGGCCACGTCGACGGCGTCTACTCCATCGCCAAAGATCCCAACTCCCTGGAACGATTCGCCAGCGGCAGCGGTGATGGCGTCGTCAAGGTGTGGGATCTAACCGATCGAGACGACTCCATCTGGCACACGACGGCGCACGAGAACATCGTCAAGGGGATGGAATGGACGCGGGACCAGAAACTGCTCACCTGCGCCGCGGACCGTACCGTCAAGCTCTTCGACCCCTACAACACGGCAGCCAACTCCAAGCCCATCTCGTCGTGGCTCGGGGCCGGCGCATTCACAAGCCTGTCCCACCACCGCTCCCGCAACGCATTCGCAGTCGCGTCAAGTGCCATATCCATATACGACCTCGAGCGGCACACGGCCGCGCCAGAGGTCCTCAAGTGGCCCACGTCCACCGACACCATAACCAACGTGTCCTTCAACTACGTCGAGACGTCCATCCTGGCGTCGTGCTCCAACGACCGCTCCCTCGTCATCTACGACCTCCGCACCTCCACGCCCGTCACCAGGACCGTCCTCAGCTTCGCCAGCAACCAAATCGCCTGGTCGCCCATGGAGGCGTTCAACCTGGCCACGGCGTCCGAAGACCACAACATCTACCTCTTCGACATGCGCAAGATGGACCGCGCCCTCAACGTCCTCAAGGACCACGTCGCCGCCGTCATGGACGTGGAGTTCTCCCCCACCGGCGAGGAGCTCGTGTCCGCCTCGTGGGATCGCACCGTCCGGCTCTGGAACCGAGACCGCGGCCACTCCCGCGACATCTACCACACCAAGCGCATGCAGCGCGTCATGGCGGCCAAGTGGACCCCCGACGCAAAGTACATCCTCTCCGGCTCGGACGACGGCAACATTCGTCTCTGGCGCGCCAACGCCTCCCAGGGCGAGGCCATCAAGTCTGCGCGACAGCGCCAGGCGCTCGAGTACAACGAGGCCCTGACCCGCCGCTTCGCCCACATGCCCGAGATCAGACGCATCCGGAGACACAGGCACATTCCCGCCGTCGTCAAGAAGGCAGGCGAGATCAAGAGCCAGGAGCTCAAGAGCATCAAGAGGAAGGAGGAGAACGAACGCAGACACACCAAGAAGCAGTTTGAGCGCAGGAAGAGCGAGAGGGAGAAGATGGTATTGGCGAGGGAGAAGTGAGACTGGTTGTCTGTCTGCCTGTCTGGCTGTCTGCCCCCTTTGGGTCCCCTCATCTGATTGCGGGAACGGCAGCACGAAAATTCCGCAGTCTTCTTTACAAGCATGGCATGGGCGTTGTTCCGGAATCAAACAACCTAATGTATATATGTCACTCGTCTCGACTACAATCGGGCGGTAAGAAGTAGGAGTAGGACCGCGGCCGTCGTCGGCTTTTGGCCCGGCAACTACGTTTGCACCCACAATTTCGTCGCAGCCCACTCTGAGCAATGATAAGCGCGTGTCCTGCATGTGTCCTCGTGCTGCCCTGCTCCCTCCCCTGCTTGTTGTCGATGGCGCATGGATTCAAAGGAGTCGCGGCATGTGTTGTGCCTTGGCTTACTTGGAGATCACCGGGCCCGTGGTTGGTTCTTGATCGACACATCACAGAGTGTCGAGAAAGCGGTCCATTACAACCAACCAGTCTCTCGGATTTCTCGGCGCCTACAGGCATCTATCCCAGGCCGGTCTTTACAGAACGCCTTGGGTCGTTCGGTATGATTACAAGTACCCTTGGACAAACCCTGACATCCGTCCAAAATCACCCATCAACGCCAAACACACATTTCGATACTTGCTCGTACCTGCTAACACGAAGTACAATCGCTAAATGACAATAGAGGCCACATACAATTCGAAGCAGATAAAACGAGAGAGACGCTCGTCCACTGGAGCTGTAAGAACCAGTGTAGGGTATTCATTCATATCCTCTCCCCCCCCTTCACCCCACCACGCCACCCAAAAAACAAAGCAAAAACAAGGAGAAAACCAAACTCAAATGAGTCGCAAAAATGCCCCGGAAACACTTTTGGCCGCCTGCTTTTTGAAACTCCTTACTGTCTAGATCCTTCGCAATTTACACCGTGGTATTCCCAACGCCTGAACTTGATTGGGAAACTTTGCCATCCGTTCGCCTTCTCACACCGGGTTCTAAAAAAAGTGTTGTACACTCTCACCGCGACTGCGGAACCCATTGTCCTTGTAAACAGGTAAAGAGAGCAGAAGAAACGAGGAAAAGAAAACGTGGCGGCGTTGACTAGGGACTGTATTACATGTAGAAGTCGTTGGTCATGGTTAGACGCTTCCGCGGGCGGCCTTTTGAGGTCTGTAATTGGGCATTTCGTCAAACCAGCCTTTCGCCTCATTGTACTTGTATGCGTGGAAGGCAATGCCATATGGCTTGGGTTCAATGGAATAGAGCATTCCAAGAGGTACATCCATGTCAGTAATATCCTCTCTTGTCAGGTCCATGAAGTAGGCCATCAGCACTCGACAAACTGAACGATGGCCAATTATCAACACATGATCAGTGATGCGCTCAATCTCCCTGACCATGTCACGCAGGCGGCTGATGACCTGGAGGTAACCTTCGCCACCGACACCCGGGTAGATGTAGTTGAGTTTATCCGCGTTGCGCTTATGAAACTCCTCTGGATACTTTCGAGCGATTTCGTCATAGGTCATGCCTTCAAACTGCCCCGTGTTCAACTCATTAAGCATTTCCCAGTTCTTGACGTCGTAATCGTCATCGGCATCAAAGTATTCGGCAGTTTCTACGCTGCGCTGAAGCATCGAGGTCCAGACACAAAAGTTCTTTTCGTTCAAGTCCTTGTGCATATCCGGATATGGAGGTGTATTGTCGCCCGGGAGAGGTGGGAACGTTGCCTGGGCCAGTTTGCTCTTTTGCTCCATAAGCCACTCCTTGCGCTTCTGGGTGATGAATTTGTACAGCGCCAGGCCGTAACAATGACCTCTCTCAGTGAGGATGGAGTCGCCGCCAAGCTTGCCGAGCTCATTATCCACGCTTTGCCCGTGGCGAGTGATCCAAATCTGCCGCGGGGAGAGATTGAAGCTTGAAAGGTATGTGCTGATGCCACCGCTGAGGAAACCCTTCAGACGGTGCTGGATAAGCTTTCTACCCACATCAACCATCTTACAAGATGAGTCAGCCGGGTGGCGCGGTACTTGAGTCCCGTAAACAACATTTACTCACCTGAATGTACTGTAGGTCGTTCTCCTCCTCATACTCACCCAGAGGCACATATGCGCTGGCATACGCCGCAACTCTGGCCTTGAAGTCTTCCAGCGATTTGATGGGGTCCTTGTTGCAATAGTCGGGACCAGACAGCTTTAGGCGCATATTTGCCTCGAGTAGATGGGGATCTCTGCATATACTTTCAATGAAAAGAATGCCGAGTTTGGGTTCACGCTCTCTGATGCGGTCAACAACTTGCTGCCGCCGCTTAATTGTGCTATTTGTAGCGTCGAGAATGCCAACAGCGCCGCCCTGGTTCAAAAGATAGTCGAGCAGCTCGTCCAGGGTTTCCATGGCCACCTGGTTCCTCATTGCCGCAGCCTTCTCGTTATTCGGGTCGAAAAATTTGGCGGACTGGTCTACTGCTTCGTGGCCCTCACTGTGTGTCGAGTTCAAGTTCAAAGCAGTAGGCTCTGCTTGATCGAGAGGAATGTCATTGTCGGAGGCTGGCACGCCGTTCAACAGAATAGTGGCAGCTTCAACTGGGAGGTTCGGGCGCTGATGCTCCTGGCCAGGGTTGGCGCAAGTTGCAGACTTGATTCCAGCCGCATGACGCCTGCGGTTACCGACATTAAAGATTCGCGATTCATGCTGCTGCCACGAAAGATACCGTTGAAGCTTTTTGGTGATGTAGGATTTGCCACGGGCAGGAAGACCGACCATGACAATTACGAGCTTTGCTGCAACGTCTCTTTGGGGAATTCTGCCGTCGGGAGAGACACGGGACCTGGTCATGCCGGGAATGTTGAGGGTCGTTGCATGAGGTCGCACTCTCGGCGTCTGAACGCCCGAGTTCTGGCGCAACGGCGGGCTGCGAGAAGCAACAACGACAAGTCAGCTCATGTCGTCATGTTGCAAAGAAACCAGGATGAGCACTGCAGATACTGGCTTCGCGGCGAGCAACGCGCTCGAGGGACAGGAAAAGGCTTGCGCGCGCTCAGCGGAAGCAGCCAAGATGACAAGACTTACATGCGTGGCGAGCTGGGAGCGGTAGAGTTGACGCTCTGCGACAGCGGAGGGGTGTCGGTTAGGTCCTTCATCATCCTGACTGCGGAAGCCACGGCGGGTATGGCTACAGGGGCAGACATGGAGCAGCATTGGGTGGTGCCATGCGACTGCAGCTGAGGTTGAGGATCGGAGGCGCCATCTGAAGGATGAGAAGGAGGCTGAACAGCAGGATGCTGCTCAGGCTCCGAGGACGTAGGCGAGGTTGCAGAGCGAGACGAGGCGACACCGAACTGGTTTCGCATGACAAGCTTGGCGAGTTCGGACTGTTTTGCTTGTCGGAGGCGCACGCTGACGTCTAAGGCGTGGTAGAAAATTGAGAAAGCGCGAGAGTTAGCAAGGGTCGTTGATTGATAAGAAAGTGGCGACACGCGCAAGAGTTGTCAGCAGCACCAAGTGCTACTTGATCAAGTACGGATGGGTATTGCCCAATACTCGAGTAGTTTAAGAGGTAGTTGGCTGCTTTGGTGGTAGCGGGTGGAGCGTCGCCGAATGGCAGAATGACAGAGTGACAGGACAAGACGTGGGTGGGGGGAGTGGAAAAAGAATTATAAAAATTCAGGTAGGTTAATGAGGACAGAGAGAGCACGGCGTGCGCGACGGGCACGAAACCATGAAATTTATGAACCAAAGACTTGCACGCAGAGATGAGCATGTATGACACACCTTGTCTGGGACGAGCCACAGCAAACGGCATTGCGAGATGTAAAAAGGAAAAAAAAAAAAAAGAGCAACGGGTTGCGCGGAAAGAAGAATGGCGGCGGGCAGGAGCGACTTGAGGTCGGTCGGTGGTGTGGCCGCCTCAGCACCTGGAGCACTCTGCAAGCACTCAGCTGAGCGCGCTCAAAGGAGTCGGCGGCGTGAGCTGGCGTGAGCCAACTTGCAACTCAAAAAATGTCCACTTGCAATGCAAAGTGGCGATCCAAGTACGGAGTACAGAGCACAGAGTACGTAAGTACCTAGGTGCCGCGCAAGGTACCCTGTCAGGAAGGAACCTAAAAACTAATGTAACTGGCGCCCTAAGAAAAAGTACCGATGGGCCCGAGTACTGAAGTACAAGGTCACGGACTGCCAGCTTGTCCGTTATCAGCAAAGACTCGGCAAGACTCAACAACCTGGAGCTTCGTTGCGCGAGGAGCCAAACGCCAAGACTCAAGGTCAGCCAAGGCCAGTCAGTCCAAGACAAACCGCTGCAAATGACGTTGCCAATCCGCAGGGTGCCAGCAGCCGGCGAACCAGGCGACAGGCTCGTGGGGAGATTTAAGGCCCAGAGTGTCAGCGCAGCAAGATCAACAAGGAAGCACTCGCCGCATCCTCCCCAGAGGCTGTCGGATTTCGCCAGCTGTCAATGCACAGAGTCGCCGGTGCGAGATGCGAACAAAAGCGAACTCTTGTGACGGCAAACTTGGACGAGCCACCCAAGGCGGATAATACAGAATACGTCCTTCGTCTGGAATTCAACAACAGTCGTCGCTCATGTTCCCAAAGTCCACTCCTGCGTCCTTTGTGCGAGCACCGCTGAGGAGGTGCTGCGCAGAGGGCCGGAATGCTCAAGCGGTTGAGCTCTCAAACGTGGGGACCGAGTCGGTATTCTTAGGTTGGCGATGACTGTTCAAGGACACATATGGCTGTCTATGATGACCAGGTCACACCAGACCGTACCCAACCAATAAGTTGGGGCCGGCCAACTTGTGGCGTTCCTTAGATCTCCTCAAGGCTGTCTGGCGATGCAGTTTGTGAAGACCCCTGTATCTTTTGTGAGGAGACAAGGGCATCGTAGAATGCTGGCAGTGATCCTCAAGGTGCTCCGTAGTTGGTCCGCCCACACACGTAAATGCGTCGCTTCACCCCTGTGAATTTTGGGCTGGACGATAAGTATACAGGCGGTACGCGCCGTTCTTTGACAACACTTGAACACACGTCGACGTCACGCAACCTGTCTGTATTCCTGTTTCAGTCTTGTTCACTTCAGGAGATGTATAACATGTCCAATGCTGCAGCATACTAAGTACCTTGGCTTCATCGCGGAACGACTGCCAAATGCATCGACATGGGTCGCGCATATGCCCTGAAACCCGTACTGGCCAGTTTCAGAGTCTCAGCGCCCTCCCGGCACGGTGGAAGGCCGACGGCATATCGCATGACGCTGTCGGACTTGCCCCGAGTAAGCCGGACTGCTAATTCCTCCCAAGTTTGGTCCCGATGGCCACCGGAGATGGATGGATGGTGTGCCTCGAGGTTTCCCTTGCTCTCCTCACAGTATTAGTATGTTGCAAAGATTCAGGGTCCTGACTATCTAGGCAGGGACCTAAGTAGTTCACAAGCGTGTGGCTCGGATTTGGCATGCGACCACACGTCATTGAGCCCGTCAAGAGGCACAACTTGGTTGACTGGGACATGGAGTAAGTAAAGACGAGGCTGTTCACCTAGCTCTGTCAGTGTCAAAGGACAGTCAGTGTTCATGTCGTGTCTGTCAGACCGGACTTCGGAGGCATCGAGTTCTTTTGCCCTACACGCCACACGCCACACCTGGTTTCTGAGAATCCTTTTGAAATCCTCTCTCGCGCCACGAAAACCGCCTGTGCAGCTGCGTCGTCGCATTTTGTGGAAATCTTTGTTGATGGAACGAATGCGAGAGGTCTGGTTCTACTGTTAGTATCCGAACCAACGGAGGTTCCGATGTCGCCGTCGGCGGAGGCTGCCTGGCTCACATCGGACTGCTGGGACGTGCCGAAAGATAGCGCTGCATTGTTCGTTACCCTCTACGGAGTAGCACGTACTAAAGTTCTGACACCACAATGAGACTTGGAGCTGCACGAAGTGGGCTGTCTCTCCGAGGCGCATGCATTAGTGTTTGGTTGATTTGCCCAAATGATTGTCGATGTCTTGTCTATTTTGACTACAGTAAACCATGTCTATAACGATCCTGTCTTATAGCGAAATTCGGGTTTTTACGATAATTCACAGTTATCTAAGGTTTTTCCCTAGTAAATCGTTAATAGTTGCGTTACTAACGATATCGTTGACTTTTTGCTTAGTCACTATATATTTTATTGTTATAAGGCCCCACTTTTATTGGCTGAATTCCTTATAGTGGGGCGGGATTTCCTTATAGTGGGGCAGAATTTCGCAATAATCTCTTAATATGTACTTTATACTAGTAATTTCTAGGGGAAGGTACAAGCCCTATAATAGTCGCATCTTAACGATAGTCGCTATATGACGATCAAAAAAGCCTCACGAAGGATATCGTTATAGACCTGGTTTACTGTACTAACCTATGCTGGCAATATTGGTCCTACTGACCGTGCTTTGGGCGCTTGGAGATGTCACTTGTGAGACATGTCGGATGCCTAGCCTAGCCGGTTTGATAGATAGATTCCGCTTTTGTCTTGCAATCGCTTATCTCTATCCCAGCATTCCCACCTCGTACTCCGGGAACGCAAAAGTGAGACAGGAAACCAGTCTTAGGGATAGTACGGACTACTGCCTAGTAAGCTTAATATATTACAGCCCCCAGCCTGCGGTGCTGCTTGATTCATTGGGCTCGATGTCGACAAGTACTACGTAGTTTGTTGCTTTATTAGCCTTTGATGCTACTCAACAAAATCTTCTCGGCACACACACCATCAGACGATTGGCCAGGCTTGTGCGCAAGCAGGTGTCCAGGCTCAATGGGGAAGGTGCAGTCCCTCCTTCATGCCAAGTTTGTCCAGCGCAGACTTCGACAAGGAACGTGGCTCTGTATGCACATTTGACATTCATGACGGCTCCAGACTGCTGTGTCCTGCATGATGTAGACATCTGTACGAGGGAGGTGCGGCCCGGGTCTGCCTGACATCTATCCTCGTAGCCGACGTGGAGAAACGACGAGTCAACTTTCGGTATTTGTTGCGGAGTACTCCGTATTGTACTGTGCATAATGCAAATGCCTCTTCGACATGTTGCAACCCATGCCTACCGCTGGCTGAACGGAGTACCAGGACTCCGAGCCCACAATCTGCTGTTCGGGGACCAGTGTACTACGTCTTGCGGTCGATCTTCTTGCCAGGGGCTCGGGATGGTGGACATGTAACCGGTATATATGTTCCCGACTATGACTGTCACTTGATGCGGCCGTTGAAACGTGATGCCATCCCAAGTTCGACAGGTCGACTCCGTTGATCAAACCGCCGATGCACGAACCTAGACTGTGGGCGAAAAGACGACAACCAACTACCTCGTGGTCAAAGTCTCGCGCTTGATATTGCTCTGATCTCGCTGCCCCAGACCACACCCTATCCTTTCGGCGGCCACTGTTGATATAATTGTTGGAAGATGGCCATTTTCAAAACGTGGCTTGCCGATCACGGGGCCACTTACACCAGCCACATCTAAATTTCAACTTGACAAAGAAAGCAACATCAGCTTGTTGAACAAGTCACAAAGGAATCTACAATGGGTCAAAGGGCATCATCAGATTTTTTTTTTTTTTTTTTTTTTTGGGCGAACAGATTCCAGGCGGTTTGTCTTTGAGTGAGGCAGTTTTTGACGAGCCAGAGCACAATCACGCGCGGCATCAAGCTTATCTCGGCCTCGACAATCGAGCAAGTCAACCATCAGCCAACAACAGCCCAAGGGTTTTTTTTTGAGTTGCCGGCTCTGCCAGCTGTCGCCAGCCGTCAACTCAACCCCGACTCTTCCAAATATCATTCAACAGGCTCGGGCCGGATAAATTTCAGCCTAGTCCTTCCAACTTCCCGCCTTCGCCGTCAGGATACCGCAGAAAACAAAGATAGCCCTATTATTCAGCGCTGACCCTCCTTTTCCAACTCCACAAGACCGCAACGTGATGACAAGATATTGTCTGTCGTCGTGTTGATTTACGACCCGGTCTTGCGTGCCGCCAGAGACGTTTGCGAGGAAGCGCATATTACGCGCCTGGCCTATGCGTTATTGACACGCTCCTTTCCCAAAGGCTGGTTTCGAACATCGTTACTCGTTACTGCCTCGGTGGTGCAGGAGTTGCTCAAGTGGCCGAGGTCTGCAGTTAAAAAAAAAAAAAAAAAAAAAAAAAAAAAAAAAAAAAAAAAGGCGCCTGCTTTCCCAAATCTTGGGCACGCAAGAAAGAACCGCCCTTGTCTTGCCTCGCCTCGCCTCGCCTCCGCTCGCCTCACAATCCCGCCCTTCACCCCGGAGGAGCGCTCGGTCAATCATAACAAACGCCATCGCTCTGACGCTCTGACAACATCTACTTTGGCCATATCTCCCCGGAGCCATCGTCTGCTGGATTGCAGAGCTAAGATTGTCTTTGATGTCCCGAAGTTTGCTTCTCTTGATTCGGCTACATCACCCTACTTTGTCTCCTTTTTGGAACTGGCCAGTATAGGTCCGTTGGCGAATTATTTCCCTGGCAGCTTCGAGAAGAGCGGAACACAAGGATACTGTCCTAGAGCCAGAGAAAAATGGCGGATAGAACCAGCGTCAATTCTTATCCTGTGTCCGGTGACGTGTCCGGAGAGGTATCTGGAGAAGACTCACAGAGCCTAGTGCTCCCAACCCCAGGCCTCAAACCAAACCCCATCGTGGACGATCTGAAGGAGCATCACTTGAACAAAGGTGTCCTGATCCCACTCAAGACGACCCAAGAAGTCTGCCAATACCATACCGCCGTTCACGCGTACATTACTCGGGCGCCGACAAAGTCCGCCAACGACGTCATATCGTAAGCACCCTTTTCCCATTTACAATCATGGTGGAGATGCGGCACCTACCATGTGCAAGATGAGATGGATGGTTATGCCTGACTACCTCATAGAGCCTTGCGAGCATTACGACCAGAGGGTGGTGCTAATCCCCTACCCCATCTTCGTACCTGTGCAAAGCCGACAGACCTGCCTGCGCACCTGAAGACGCAATTTATGAATGATGATCCGGTGGGCCGCCAGATTCATACCAGCAAGTCTACATGGATCTACATCATTGCAGGCGAGGTCAGAGAGATCAGCAAGTCAGACCTCATCAAGGCTCTATCGACAGTGGAAGCGTTAGAAAACCACCTCTTCATCGCCACCATCGCCATTCCACTATTGGCCCCTACGTCGCAGGTGCAAGCTGCGCTGTGGTCGTCTCAGTATTGGCCAACAGTTTACCGCAAGAATAACCCCCTCGGTCCCCATCCTAGCATGGTGGGTCGCGGAACCGATGAGATTAAGGAGGACGCATCATTGTGGATGGCCCTGGCCCATCGAGTCGCCTTGCAAGCAAAAGAGGCGGGCATCGGGGAGGCTATGGGGGCTGTGATTGTTCAGAGAGGAGAAAACGGTGTCGAGTTGGTTGGTCTTGCTGGCGATGCCCGTAAACATCAGGAGTGTAATGGGGCCGTGCTCAACAACACCGTGACACACTGCGTGCTTCGGGCCATCAGCATGGTGGCCCAGAAACTTGTGAGGCACGAACACCGAGAGGCCGGCATAACTGCTGAAGCGGCGAATTTATACTACGACTGTTTTCAAGACAAGCCCTTGATTGAGCTGGAACGCCAGTGCTTTGAGCAAGAGCATCCAAACAAGGACGGCTACCTTTGCCATGGATTGGAGCTGTATGTCACTCACGAGCCATGCGTTGCCTGTTCTATGGGCATACTTCATTCTCGCATGGGCAAGGCCATCTTTTGCCATCACATGGGTCGCACTGGTGGGTTGAGTTCGGATGATCGTCCGGATGGAGGTGGACGAGGGTTGGGGTTATTCTGGAGACGGGAGCTCAATTGGAGTTTGCTGGCCTGGGCATGGGAACCTGAAAACGTACCCAGCCTCCCTCCCATCGACCCAACTACTCATGTTTAGGATTACCACCTCCTAGTTCTACCTAGAACTCAGCCGTTGCGGTGCTTATTTTTTTTTTCTTTTGTACGCAATCACATACACGGCCTGTTTTGAGGACGGCCTATTAGGCAACGCGGGACCCGACCTTGTCTTGTCATGGTTTCGGGCTGGGAGGCTGCGACAGGACGAAGTCGGCTTTGGAACGAACTACGTGTATGGCTCCATGTCATTTTGACCAAGTAGCACATTCGAATCCACAAGTTGGCGGACCATTGATGAGAATTCCAGATACGGCGCAAAGACGGAGGGCTTTATCTGTCTGCACGGTCCACTGGCAGGGGGCCATGGCTATTGTTGATTATCCATGGGACTTGGGGAAGAAGAAATGCTGGCACGTCGAGGTGGACGGAGGACGGTGGACGGGGCTGGGTTTTGTGTAATTACGGAGTACTGTAGATACTATATAAAGCTCGGTTGTGAAGTAGAGGCCGTGAGCTGTAGGCGGCATGTTTTTATTCAGCGCATGACTTGGCAATGCAGGGCAGTGTTTGATTATGCAACAGCAACGTGGGCGCTTTCTGGTAATGGCCGGCCCAACACGGACGTCTTGGCATGGGCAAAGGGGTTGTAGTCGCGCTTGACCGTGGTGTTTTTGCTGCGACCAAATGGCTTAGAGGTCGAGGCCGGAGTGGCATATCGGCGAAGGCGAAGGGCATGTACAGCGTCAATGTTGTGTGTGTGCGAGAGTCGTCGACTACTCAAGTGCCCAGGCGACTTTGGGTGCCCCTCTCAACGGCTCTCATCACGAGGGCAGTGCGAAGGCAAGCGTCTCTTCGAAGCCCATTCTCCTCGTGTCCGTCAACGCGTCGAGCTTTCCATTGTTGCATTTGCATCAATGTGCCCAGGGGAATGCCATCGTCCGGCCCATCTGCGGTTTTGATCTCAGCCTTGCGCGACACCCGCTAACTGCGCCAAGCTGGCTTCCAAGTTATTCTTGTTATTTTTGCTTCTCTCCCCCGGCTGCGGCCATCGCCTCGTCCAACCGGTCGTACGAAATCATCACCTCTCGAGAGGAGCAAGGACGCGGGTATTCGTGCCTACGAAACTGCTCTCCACATCATCGACCCGACGCTTTTTTGGCTCTCTGAACCGTACCCTCAGGGCGGCCTCGCCAGACGACGAAATGAACAAGAGAGCCGCACCAGGGCTGAACGCAACAACCAGCCCCCCCAAGAAGAGAAAGACGGACAATGTGCAAAAGTTCTACGCAGTCCAAGCTGGGTTCCGCCCCGGCGTGTACATGACCTACGCTGAGTGCTCGGCCCAAACAGCCGGTTTCAAAGGTGCCGTCTGTGAGTAAAACTCCGAGTGTCCCCGTCGCAGGCTCCAGACGCCAGAGGTCATGGTATCAAAGTCGGGCTTGAGCTGACTGGCCGTTGCTGCAGTCAAGTCCTTCACCTCGAGGTCCGACGCGGAGGCCTTCGCGGCGGGCAAGAAGGTCGCGGCGTCTTCCGACGAGCCGGAGAGGTTCTACGCCGTGGCTGTGGGCAACCCGACGGGCATCTACACGGACTGGAATGAGGCGGCACTCGCTATCAAGGGCGTCAAGGGCCCCAAGTACAAGCGGTTCGGGACGCGGACGGAGGCGGCCGTCTACATTAGGCAGTTTGGCAGCAGGGAGGCCGTCGAGGCGCTTGGAGAGACGTACGCTGCGGCGGCGGTTGACTCGGGCCTGACTCCGACGCTGGTGGCAGGCCCTGCGAAGAAGATGACGTCCCGGGCGGCCGCGAAGAAGGCCGAGCCGGGGGTGCAGCGTCCGGCTGAGGACGTCTTGCAAATCTACACGGACGGCAGTAGCCTCGCGAACGGGAGGGCCGGGTCCAGGGCGGGCGTGGGCGTCTACTTCGGGGACGGGGATGTCCGGAATGTCTCTGAGCGACTGGCCGGCGACCCGCAGACTAACCAGCGCGCCGAGCTGATGGCCATGCTTCGGGCGTTGGAGATTGCCCCCGCGGAGCAGACGGTGCAGATCATCAGCGACAGCCAGTACTCGATCAACTGCGTGACGCAGTGGGCTCTTGGGTGGAAGCAAAAAGGGTGGAAGACGGCAACGGGCGAGAACGTCAAGAACCAGGACATCATTAGGGCTGTGCTGGACAAGATGGAGGAGAGGACCAAGGCCGGTGCCAATACCTACTTTCATTGGGTCAAGGGACACGCGTCGGACAGAGGAAACGTGGCCGCTGACAGATTAGCTGTGCGAGGAGCAAAAATGACGTGTTGACGAGGGGTGTGCGGTTGAGCTGAAGCTGAGTTGACATCGAGAGTTGAGTATTGCAAACATGTCAGGGTCCAAAGGTTCTTGGAGGAAAAGAAAGGAGGCTCTGTCTGCGGACGGACTTTTGTGATACTAGCAGGGTGATGAAAGGGTAGGAGGGTAGGGTTGCATCTCATGGAAGCGGCTAAGGAGCATATGCATGTACTACGGAGTGTTTTTTTTTCTTTTTTCTTTTTTGCTTCATCTTCTTCGAGACTTGGGACATTTTGAGGGCTGGCAGAGAAGGGGGAAAAAAAGAAGGGATATTATTTTTTTGTCTACTTTGGTTGTGACACAAGTCCTCGCCGATGGCTGGTGGCGTCTTGACGGTCATACGAAGATGGTGTAGGGCTGTCCTCATGATACCTATATATATCTACCGCTTTTGTATGGTCTTTACGTTTGCACCCCAGCTGGCCATCGTCGTGGCGTACTGTGACCGGATGTGACGTGTAGAATGAGTATCGAAGCGGCTGTCATTGGATTGTGAGGCTGTCTGGTGCCATGTTGTAGCGTTCGAGGGCGTCGTGCTGAAACCCATTTTTTGTTGCGCCCGCTACTGTTCATCAGCCTTGCCACGGGCTTGGGGAACGCGACATGGTGTCATATCTTCGTGTGACCCGTGGGTTTGGACATGGGAGGCAGCGATGGATCGTGGATGATGTCTTTCTGACCTGTTATGCAGGCAGGTTTTGTCTTGGACGCGAACGTCATGTGCATCAGGTTTGAATTGTAGCCTGTGGCTGGCTGGCTTTCCACATGCTATCCGGTGATTTCTGGGCTATCGGAAGTTTCTCCGGTGCGTTACGATTTGTCGATGCTGTCGTGCTCTCCTCGTCCGCTTCGTGGTAATGGGCTACAGTCGTCAGGGTCATGGGACGGTTTTCCACGGCGTACAGAGCTTTGGTGACTTGCGACTCGTTGTCTGGACGGGCTCTCTTCCCTACATCTCGCGGTGCCCGTTTCCTTGCTGTCCATCCATCCACGTTCAGAGCCGGTTTCTCGGACGTTGTGGTACACTGCCGGAGACACATCTCGTGATTCAACCCTTCCAGCCATTGAACGCCGTCATATCTAACCGGGGTGTAGTATTTTATTCTTCTTTAAAATCTCACTCGACTGACTTCTTTCGACAAATACGCTGCTAATACCCATGTACTTGTCCACTTGTCCATCTATGACACCCGATCCAAGTTTTGTCGGATGCGCGACCAAAGAACATCACTTCCTCCTAGAGAGATGGCGGCTTCGACCCGAAGACACTATGCAAACAGAATACACGCACTGCGCAAAGAGAGGCTATTCCCAGCTTCCCTTTGTTTCAGTGCTGGATTGTCCATATCTGGACAAACGTGCAGGTTGCACCCGCGGGGCCTGTCATCTCCCTTTGCGGACAGATGAACCAATAGGATATGTCTCGTGTCCCATCCGATTATCAGGCCGCAACCTACAATGTCCAGCAAGGATGGCGAGCCCTAGGCTAGGTTTTTTCTGTCCTTACTCGTGCTTCCTTGTCGTTGCATTGGCGGGTGGGATTCAGCGGGCGGTGGGTGGTATCAAGGAAGGGGACGAGTATTTGTGTCGCCTGACTAGTCAGGTTTACGTTGCAACACTTGCGATTTGCATCCATCTCCCGATGTGAGGTTTACATACAGTACGCGTGGCGATGGGGGCGAGGGAGTGGATGTTCGAGAAGAAGGGTGATGAAAAACGAGCAAACTTGAGCTGAGGTCCATGACACGACTTATGGAATTCCACGGCATTGGCGCCCGGTGGCGTGTGTAGTAATCGAGGGTGTAGATTCAGAGAATCGATCAAAGAAGGCTCAGGCGAGGAGTTATATGGGAGGCAGCGGTATCTACGTGTCAGCCGTCGCCACGTCCTTTGGTCGTTTCCCATGGGCCAAAGGCCGTTTGCCAACATGGCCACGTGCTGACCGGTCTGGCCGGCCCCGGGGCACACTCAACCTAGGTACTTATATAATGGCACCCAATGAAGCTGAACTGTAGCCTTGTACAGACGGCCAACTGGGCCGGATTAAATGTCGTGGCTTTATATTGCGAGAGAGTGAGCGGGCGGCGGGTGCGATCAAGTCACCGCCAGAACACGTCATTCTGCGCATTGCGGAAGATTGGCTTTGGAGTCGGGCGGTGAGCATGTGGTGATGAGGAGAAGATTGCCAACGAGGAACGGATATATAAATATAAATACCGCGCCGATCATTCATGAGAAAATAGGACTGGGCTGGAGGGTTCGGAAGTTCGAATGCACAAGGTCAAGGTTGTTGTCCTGTTGTCCGTCTGTCCTCGGCCCTCCAGTCGCGCCTTCCCAATTGGCACATGCCTGTGGAGGCAAGTGCCACCACCCACTGACCCGGGACACCACGGCCCACCAAGGTCTGTGCCGACATCTCGACTCTGATCCTGCACCCACAATACATTCCATCGCGTCTACGACTTGGAGTCGTTCTGCCCTCTACTCACCCCAGTTCAGTCTTGCCTACTGCCTGTTCGGGAACTTGCTACATAAACAACGGGCCACTGCTTCGATCCACGTTTAACCCTCCAAGGCACAGGGGAAAGAAAGCTCGCTCTACTCGTGCCTCTTCGCACATCTTTATCTACCGCTTCTATGACCTCGCCCGATCCGAGAATGCTGCCTACCCTTCTCTTCCTTGCTACAGCCGTCATCGCCACTGTCCGCTCTGAAGCTTGCTGACGCTGGCTTCTGCCGCGATGGCCAACGACACTCTAATGAAGGAGGGCAAAGACATTGCGGCCATACCCTTGGCAGTCACCGACTTCAATGTCTTGGTTGCGCTGCTGGGTGGGTTCATCTCGCTATTTGGGCTGGTGTCATATCTCTTCAAGGAGACATACTACCTATCTGAAGCTCGTGAGTAAATTTCAGCTTATGACGTCGAGTTTCTTCTTCCTATCCCTCCGCTCCCTCTCACCCGAGTCACGTTCGGTCCTCAGGGTATGATTCGCTTTTGTCCTTTCCAGAACTAGAATTGGTGGTGCATAAGCATGTGAGACAGTGATGCAGGAACCACCATACCTGGGGTAGACGTGCAAGGGTAGGGAAGCTTGTGTAACGGAACGGGCCTTTGTTTCTTGGGACCGCATTGGACCCTCGAAATAGTTACTCATCGCCGTGTTTGCACTGAAACCTGACTTTTCTGGTACAGTCATATCACTCTTGGCAGGTGTAGCCTTTGGGCCGTTTGCCGCCGATTGGATCCGGCCTTGGTCTTACGCCGCTTGTCACCGAGATCGCCTCACGGACGCGCAATGTGAGGACCGGCTGGGTGCCATCACGCTCAACTTTTCCAGGCTGGTACTCGGCGTGCAGCTGGTTCTCGCTGGAGTCCAGCTGCCTAGCAAGTACCTCTGGAAGGAGCTGAAACCTATCTTGCTACTCGTCGGCCCCGGCATGGCCTGCATGTGGATGGCCACGAGTCTTCTTGTTTGGGGACTTGTCGGCACGCCGAGCTTTTTGCACGCCCTAGCTGTCGGGGCATGCGTCACTCCTACCGATCCAGTCCTGTCTGCCGTCATTGTCAAGGGCAAGTTTGCCGATCATAACATCCCCAAAGACTTGCAGGATCTCATTGTTGCCGAGTCCGGAACGAACGATGGCCTGGGATACCCCTTCTTGTTCTTCGCCCTCTACCTTATTAAATACATAGGATCCGGCGCAACCTCAGGTGGTGCTGGGGATGCCATGGGTCTTTGGTTTGCCTTGACGTGGGGATATACCATTATCCTAAGCATCATCTATGGTGCCGTGGTAGGTTGGCTAGGCCGGGAACTGCTCTACTTTGCCAAAAAGCGCAACTACGTTGACCGTGAGAGCTTCCTCGTTTTCGCTGTCGCCTTGGCTTTATTCGTTCTAGGCACCTGTGGTCTGATTGGCACAGACGATGTGTTGGCATGCTTTATTGCTGGCAATGCCTTCACCTGGGACGATTGGTTCCGCCTACAGACCAAGGATGACTCGTTACAGCCGACAATTGATATGCTTCTTAATGTCACCATCTTCCTATGGTACGGCGCCTACCTCCCGTGGAGAGAATTTGGCCACAATTCTGTCATTCCATTGAGTCGACTGATTCCCCTTGGCCTGCTGGTGCTGCTTCTACGACGCGTACCGTGGGTGTTTGGCATGCACAAATGGATTCATCAAATTAGTCATGCCCGACAGGCCATCTTTGTGGGATTTTTTGGCCCAATCGGTGTGTCGGCTGTCTTCTATCTCTTCATCAGTATTGAATTCATTCAGCAGCATTTGAGTGATGAAAATGGCATTCCCAGATCGGATGTCAAGGACCTCGCTGAGACAATTACAGTGGTGGTTTGGTTCCTCGTCGTGTGCAGTATTGTAAGTGGTGTCACGCTTGTTCTTCGTCAGAAGCAATGCTACATGCCCGTCTCCTTTCCTCCTGGATCATGTCGTTAACGTCACTTCTCGCAGGTTATCCATGGCCTGAGCATTCCCGTCGGCAAGCTAGGGTATCTCGCGCCAAGACTCCATCGCGTGCTGAGTGAAAGTCTCAGTGAGACACTTAGCACTGATCGGTTCAGCGGCCAGGCTCGCAGGCGGATTCCCTTCTTTGGTAGATTTATCAGGGGACCAGAGGATGTTGAAGCAAACCTTGCAGCACAAGTGCGTCAAGGCACGGCGCCGATTCGTCGGACGGGACAGGGTGTTGTACCTTCCAAGATCAAACCAGAACAAGACCCTAGAGGCGCAGCAGTTGTAGGTCCGAACAGTCACGAAGATGCTGAGAGCTCTGGAACTCGAACGAACATTGAGGGTGAAGCCACAGTCTCGGAGACGTGGACTGTGGCAAAGGGGAGAAGTCAGTCTGTCGATGAGCCCGAAGCTCTGGTTTCGGAAACCAGTAGCCCTGGCCGGAGTGCGAGAAGGGAGATCCAGTTCTCTGACGAGGTGCCGGCGAGCCCACGAGCTCCGACTAGTAAGCGAACTTGAGTGAGCTGTTACTGCCGACGATGGTGGCGATCAAGGATGGGGGTCAAGCCACGAATGTTGTCGGTTCTGGACCATCATCGCCATCGCCGTCTCTGGGTGATGGGCATAGCTTCATATGTGGTGGCGAAGGTGCGTGGGGAGAAAGGCCGGTTGCGCACACATGGCATGAGTTTGATAGAGGAGCCTCCGGTACGGAGAGCGCTTAGCGTACAGCTGGCAAGATATTTGGATAGGATCAGTCCCATTAGTATTTTAATTGACGTAAAAAACGGTTTTGCATGTAGGCATTGTTTATCTGAGGTACGTGCAATGTCGTCAGTGGTTGACGAAAACTCCGTAGTGGCTTCAAATAGTTCTCATCAGCACCTCGGTCCGGCGTGACGGCAACTTTCAGCCACGAGGCTGCAACAAACACAAGCAGATCGTTGCAGAACGTCGTCGGTGGCTTGCTCGACAGTTTAAGTGCTTGATTGGCCGGCAGTTCTCGTTGCAACGGGCTCATCGAGAGAATAGCGGATGAGTTGCGACGGCGAGAAGTGGACTGCAGGAACCAATTGTGCATTCCATCAGGATCAGCGGCGAGGCGTCCAATGGACTCTGGCGCTCTGGCAAGGCTGATCGTGACGGCTCAGGCAGAGAGAGGCTTCTATTGCACGCCGGTCCCAGGCGGCCTGCGTGCGCTGGACACGGTGATCAGCACGTCGACGACGGGACGACGGTTGTGGCTGTTGGCGAATTCTCCGTTGGAAGCGGGCGCTATGACGGTAGACGGTACGGAAACATTGACGGGATAGGGGATAGTCAATGCATCATCAACAAAAACTGGCGGTCGGTCGGAAGTTTTGATGTTGTAGTCAACCAGTGGCAATGCCTGTCGTGACTCGTGGGACCGCAGGTCCCTGCACAGAGGAAAGGACAGTTGAGGCCCCAAGTGCCGTCCCGTCTGGTCCGAAGAAGCGCTGGTGCCCGGCTGCGGGTTGCCTGGGTGCCTGCATGCCTGCAGATGGTTGCAATCCCCAGCCCTTCCACAGGCTCCAAAATCTCCCCAGGGGACCGGGCACCGGGGCAGGCCTGGGGTTTCCTCCGTACTCCAGGGCGGAGTGCAGGAGGCGCAGGGCACTGTATCCGCCACGGGCACTCATGCTCCAGCAGAGTGTGAACTATGCTCGTCTCCCTGCATACGGAGTGCTGTCCGCGTGTCTTTGATGGCAGGCAAAGGACCCTACTTACGTACGTACGTAAGTAGGTACCTAGGCACCTAGGTAGGTACGTACTAAGTACCTACTTAGGTAAGTAAGGTATCTAGGTACGTATCCCGTACCCTGGCCAGGGGACTCCCCTTCTCCCCATACCCCCGGCCTTAGCATGAGGATTCAAGTACCGGTACCCAACTTTGAACTGGATACTGTACATGGCTTGGCCACATAGGAACTTAAGTAGGTACGTACAAGAAAAACGGGTTGACGCCGGACGGAGCCATCGAAAAAAATGGCTTGAGGAGGAAAAGGGGTCTGTAGTTCTTGTGATTGTAATTCCAGGAACCAGACCGTCTTGATATGCGGGCATATACCTCGTGATGTTCCGATCAGGTGCTTCCTAAGTACTGAAGGAGGTAGGAGGTACTCGGTACTTGACCAGGCCATGCCCGTTCGCTATCGCAACTACTAGTACGGAGTATGAGCCACGGCTCGCTCAATCTCCCCCGTGTGCCCACCGCCTAACAGACTCGGTTCTCGACTGGTTGTTCATGCACGTTTCCACCCGCTGTCGCCATCCAAGTCCACGTCAACCATTTACTCACTCGTCTGGTTGGCTTTGCAGACGCTCTGCTCTCCCTTTGTCGATTCTCTGCTCCGTACCTCACCGACCTGGCTTTGATCTTGTCCCGCTCAGCACTCGGCGAGACGCCAGACGCCCCTTTTCGCTCCGACGCCGAACGTAATCCACGACCACGACTCGACCGCGATCCCGAGAAAACGTTGAGTGTGTGGCGTCGATTGCCGGGTTTTCCTACAATCCTGCTCCGTGGACTCAGTCGCTCCTCATGTTTGCGACAGAAACCAACGGCGACATCTGTTCCACCTGTACTCATCGTCATACATGCGTATATTCGTCGGGGCAGTGACACCGCTATTATTACGGTTTTCTTTCTTTTCTTTTTCCTCTCATTCAAACCTCGACATTGTTTCTCTTTACGCTCCCCCAATGTCGAATCACTAGTACCGCAAACTAGAAACTAGGTCCAGTGCGACGTACCTCCAGTCGACCACCGCCATTTTCACACGCCTATTAGTTATTTGCCCGACGAGAGTCAATACGCTGCGGTTGGACCATTTGCATTCTGCCGCCCCTCCCTTTCTGCAATCTCCCCTCAACTCCACAAACCTCGCCGCGATTGAAATAGCCCGCCTACCCAGGCGGTCGAATCGACTCCCCACCGCGTGAGGCGGATCGCGCAGGGCCTGGCCTGCTGGTCATGACACCCGCAGGAGGCAGCGTCGCCGGAGGCCCTTTGATAGCGGCAGCAGGAATGTCCAGCGGTGATTTTCCCTCTCACGAATTCTCCGACGATGAATTTGCCGCCTCCAGCCTTTTCGACTTCTCAAACAGCCCCGACACATTGCAGAGCTTGGACGCCATTGGCTCCAAAGACGACAAATCTTTCTTAAACCCTCAGGAACTGACTACCACCGGACCCTTTCCCGATTCACCCAGTGGCTCTTACCACGACTCGTCCTCCGAGTCGGCTTCGTCCACAAAGAGGACTGGCAGCTCCGACTCGACCAAGACGCCTACTGCGGCTGACGAAAGCACCATGACTGACGGCGCTGACGTGAAGATGGACTGGGGTGCCGCCAATTATACTCCTTTTGACGACGATGAGAATACATTTACGTTCGGTCGCGAGGCTGACACTTCCGCCATGGAGGGGCTGTACGGATTTGGCGAGCAGGATGACAGCTTCGCGGACCGATCCTTTGATTTTGAGAGCGCTTCGAGTAGCCCCGAGGCACACAACGCCCGTCAACATACCATGGCATCACCGGGCATGCCCACTATCAAGCCGTCGAATATCAAATCCGAAAAGCCTGCGCGCAGACCCAGCACCAAGGCCAAGACGATAAATCACAGGAGGAAAAGCTCAGTAAGTGGATTGTTGTGTCCCGCCCAGGCCCCCCTTTTGTGCACTATGGCCCCTCAAGTATCTGTTTGAATCTAACTCTCGACAGCAACATTCGACGTCGTCAAGCGGCGTCAAGACTTCAGCTTCGAGAGAGGTTTCCCCCATGTCAGCCCTGGTGACGAGCCACAATTCATCTCCGGCAGCAAATTGCTTCAGTTCGCCTTCTCCTCTCAGCAATCACGCCAACGGAAAAGCCATATGGCCTAACAGAATAGATGCTGCGACAGCCACAGCACCGGATGCGCTACCCACTCCCACGCATTTGATCAACCAGATGCCCCAGTCGACGCATATTCCTCAACATATGCCACTCTACAGCGGTAATCCTGTTTATAGTTTTACCGGCGGCTATGAGTTGAGAATCCTGCCCACGCCTCTGAAATCGCGTGTCGAGACGCAAATTCCGATCAAGATGACACTGTCGCCATTACCACCAGGCGTAACCAAACTGCACTTGCCCACCCACACTATATCGAAACCTAAGCTACTGGCTCGGCCAAGCCCTGAACGATCTCCAGATACCCTTGAACTGCATGTCAGCCTGGTTTGCACAAGTGCCATGGAGCAAGGAGATGTCAAGAAGAAGGCGCTGGACAGAGCCGCATCCGTACCACGGGGCTACTTGCCAGATCTTGACGATGAAGAGAACTCGCCTCAAAAGGGAGGAGACGTCCGAATCTGCGCCGGGTGTATCACGCGAGAACGGAAACGAGCTGCACGAAAGAAGATCAAAAAGCCAGAGGAAGAGAAGATTTGGAGTCGAGACGAGGAGCGACGTGTCATCGTCTTCAATACCCAGGAAGTCAAGGAATGGCAGCCCCTGAGCGGTGTCTTAGATGTCAGCGGACGCCCTGATCCGGTCATCACACGCGCCATGCAGGTCGATGCTCCCATGAGGATTGCCTGCTACTGCCGGCATCATGGTGAGAAGATGGGCTTCAACGTCATCTTCACCATCAAAGACTTTCAAGATCGCCTCGTTGCACAGGCCATGTCCAATCCAATCATGATTACAGACGACCACAAGACTCATCCCATTGCTCAAGTCCCGAATCCTCAGGTGTCGGAGGCAGTCACCTCGACCACAATTCCTATCCATGTGCCTCAGCCTATGGAGAACAACCACATCGCGCCGGCGCCCGGCACTCGAGCCGGAACATTTCAAGTGTCATCGACGAACGCAGACGTTAATCCCCAGCAAGGTGGTCACTCGCCGTACGCAGGGTCTGTCGCCTCAGGCAAGACAACTTCCACGATGAGCACTCCGACGGCAACTGGACGAAGTCTTTCTCGACCTTCGTCACCGAATCAAGGCGGGCCGGCCAAGAAGAGAAAGTCGAGCAGTTCGAGAGTACCTAACGGCTTGACGATGACGAGACTGGATACCTCACCACCACCGGGGGGCTCTCAAGCAACTTCAGCACAGATTTCTACAGCGGCGTCTCCTTTCTCTCCCCATCAAAGCCCGTTCCCACAGCCAGACCCGATGTTTGGGGCCATGAATGGCCAGGCTCCACTTGCCAATGGACCTCCGACTCCTTGTAGCAACGACCAAGTGCCGTTCTTCTCTAACCGTTCGGTGAGCATGGACAACCTGGCAATGGCTCAGTTGTACTCTGCGCCAACATCGACCCATCCAAGTCGAGCCCCTAGCCCCAACGGCCTGAGAAACAGTGTTAGCAGCGGCATGCAAAATCAGTTCACGCATAGCCTGGCGGCCAACTTGTATTCCTTGCCTCTCAGCGTCAACCAAACGCGAGCGCCTCCCACTATACACAAGATCATCCCCAACGAGGGGCCCAAAATCGGAGGCATCGAGGTCACGGTATTGGGTGCTGCATTCTTCCAAGGCCTAGAGGTCTTCTTTGGCGATCAGAAGGCTACGACCACAACGTACTGGGGTGACTCCTCTCTCGTCTGCTTGCTACCCCCGTCACCCGTTGCCGGCACCGTTGCGGTGACGTTCAAACACCAAGGCATCCCTGGGGCTCAGAACTTCGCCATGGGCAAGCAGCCGCCCACGTTCAAGTACATCGACGATAATGAAGACAAGCTCATCAGGACAGCATTGTCCGTGCTTGGACACAAAATGTCTGGTCAGATGGTCGACGTTAGTGATTTGGCGCGCCGGATTCTCAATGATGGCAACTCGACTTGGGCAAGCGGAGGCGGCTCATCGTCCTCAGCCGGAGGCCCAATGTTCAACCACGCTGCCACGTCTCGTGAACATCTCGAGTCGCAGCTCCTCAGGTGCTTGGATCTCATTGACCTTGACGATAGCACCCACAAGACACGTCTCGATCTGAGGAGACCCACGGGTCATACTATGCTTCACTTGGCCTGCTCACTAGGATATCATCGATTCGTCGCTGCACTTCTTGCCCGCGGCGCCAACCCTGATGCGCGCGACAAGGGAGGCTTTACGCCATTGCACCTGGCTGCCATCCACAACCACCCCGAGATTGTGAGACGCCTGATGCTCGTCGGTGCAGACCCCACGATTCGAAGCTTGTCCAGCCTGACGCCTGCCGATGTTGCCCAGTCACGGGCTGTTTTGCGTTCAATCCGCTACTCTGAGCGACACGTACGATCTCGAAGCGGTGGCTCGCTCCACAGCAGACCCAGCAGTGTCACCTCGCTGCGCTCCTTGTGGGAGCCCATGACAAGAGCACACACTCACGATGAGCCAATCTCAGTTGATTCAAGCGAGGAGAGCCCTGAATACACATCCGGGGATTTCGAGGACGAAGACCCGGACGAAGACGTCTACCTCACGATGCGACGCGCCAGCGCCATTGGACCAGACGAGAAATCCACCGAACACATGGAAGAGCCAAGCCGGCCTGGCAGTGGAATGGCTTCTCCCACTACGGCCCTTGCGGCTGCCCTGAAAGATCAAGTGCACCAGCAGCTCCAGCAGCTCCAACAGTCCATGGCACTGCATCTGCACAACCTCGCCCACTTCCCTCACATGCCCGCCCTGCCTGGAATGGCAATGCTCCCCGACTACCAGGCATACTTTCAGCGTGTGCAGCAGCTCATGCCAGGCATGTCTGGCGCCCGCCCAGGACCGGCTGGCTCGGCCGGCGAAAGCCAGGGCAAGGTGGACGGCCGCTGGTGGGACATCAGCTCCTACATCAACAATGCCGGCGCAGTGCCACCCCCTGCGTACGAGGACATTTTCCCCCAGCAGGATGTGGACAAGAAGCAGGAATCCGCCGTCAGAGCCGCCGCAGATGCCGAGGCCGATATGAAGTGTACGACCCTGTACGACCAGAGCACATCGACGGCGGCGACGACGACAACGACAACGAGCACTGCCACTCCTCCTCGTGCCAGGACCGATGCGCCGGAGATTCTCAAGATTGGACGCAAAAATGCCATCACCAAGGAGCAACAGGAGCAGTTCCTGCGAGCACGCGAGATCAAGTTGAAGAGTCTCCGTAGCGACCGAAACCTCTTCTTTGTTTGGGTAAGCACTACTCGAAAGGCAACCGATTGGATTGCCATGCAGGTTCTTGCTAACACGAAGTAGATTCCCCTTCTTCTGATAGTGATGTGCGCTATGCTGTACAGCTACTGTCCCTCGCTTTTCGCTTTCCTCTGGACCTCTGCCCGGGCCCTGGCGCAGGCTGGCCACAACCGAGCATCTCGGCTGACGAGCACCGCGCCGGTACGCGATGTAGAAGTATGACACGCATCGTGATGGTTGTTCACAGGATGCTGTAGAAGGAGCTTTGTTGCAGGCTGTGTTGCGCTTTGAAACTTGAAGCATGGCGGGCTTATGGGTTGGCCTTTTTTTTTTTTTTTGAATTTTCCCAACGTTGGCATCTGTTGTGGAATTTGGATGGACGTTCGTTTGTATTCGACATCATTTCGCACCAACCGAGCGTTTCTCCAGGGAGCACGGACCGTACTTGCGATACAAACCTACAAGTTTACGTTTGGAGGAGATTTTTCAAGTTGGGGGATGCTGGGGTGGATGAGGGACCTGGCCCGCAGGGACCATGCGCGAGATGGATGGGACAGCAAGCAGGAAAGGGTCTGCCGGGTTGTCGCGTGTGTTTTGTTTTTGCTATACATTTTTTTCATCCTCTCGGACGGGGATGGGCTTCGATGATGACTCGCCCACGACGGCGACGGGCAAAACACGGGTTGTTCGAAGACGGGTATAGTATAGTATGTACGGGCCTTGACATTGTTCACTTGCAGGTAGATGGTTGTCGGATTGATTGATGGTCTTGCTGGACTCGGTACTCTGTAGACAGGAAATCGATGGTACTGTACGCAGCGAGAGGCGAGGCACCAGGTTACTCGGAGTACTGGCGATTTGAAAATAAAAAACAGACCAATGCCGACGTGACGCTCTCATGTACACGCCAATCAATGTAAATGCATCAACGCCAGCACGCCATCATGCCACCACAAGTCGTATCCATACCCAGCCACGGGCAAATCATTATTGCGTTTACGTCCACGGCCTCACGCGAAGCCCCCAATGCTGCCCACGTCACGGCTCCCTCCATCCCGAATCGCCAATCGCCAACACCCCGGACGACAGACACACCGACTACCGCCTCAGCCCCCTCCACGGCACCCCATTCTCCCTGTCCTCCCCGTACGTAAACTTGACCGGGATATCGGGCACGATGGGAATGCCCCTATTCACATCCGGCACCACAACGCGGAGCCCCCCGTCGCCGTCCCTCTCCCTGGTCCCCGCAGATCTCAGGTTCCTGGCACTAGTAGGCCGTCGAATCTTGCGAGCCGTGCTGCCCTGGACGTCGCCCGAGCCGCGCCCCCTGGGAAGCGCGTCCAGCGACGCCCGCGCCAAAGGCACCCCCTCGTGATGTTGCTGCTGCTGCTGCTGCTGCTGCTGCTGCCGATGATGATGATGATGATGAGCCCACAACACCCTCTTGGTGAGCTTGTTCGGCTCGCGATCCTTGCCGCCGCCCTCGTGCGCGTCCCCGGAAACGTTGCCCCTCGCCGAGGCCACCGCCGCACGCAGATGCTTCCTCGACGCGACGCTCCTCAACTTCGGGAGCGAAATGTCCCTCGCAGCAGCCACCCGCAGCCTCTTGGGGAGGAAGCGATGCGCCAGCGTAGACTCGTCCTCCCCGTCGTCGTGCTCGTCGTCGCGCTCGTCGCGCTCGTCGCGCTCGTGCTCCCCGTCCCCGCAGACACTGGGCACGGGCGACTCGGCAGCGCGCTTCGTCCCCCGGGACGACGCCACGCTGGCACCAGGCGCCCCGTGGGACGTCGACGGGCGGCAGCCGGGCGGCGGGGGCGCCCCGTGGCGCGCCGACTGCACCGCGTGCGAGGAGAAGAAGCCCGACGCCACGAGCTGCTGGTAGCTGGCGAGGACCTGGTCCCGCGGGGGCCTCTCGTCGCCGCCCGCGTGCCGCCGCGCCCTCTGCCTCTCCCTCTCCCTCTCCCTCTCCCTCTCCCCGTCGTCTGCGTCCCTGCCGCCGCGCAGCCGGAGCCTGCCGCGGACGCCCTCCCACACCTGGCTGAGGATGCCGGCCCTGCGCGAGTGCGGCTCCGCGGCGCGCGGACCGGCCGCCCGAGCGCCTCCCTCTCCTGCGGCCCGAGAAAGTGCACCGGCGGCGCGGCCGACGCGCGGTCTCTCATGGATCCTTCCTGGAAGCGGCCCCTCTGCCCGACCAGCTCGTGGGTTCTCGTCCTGGGGGGGCCCATGACCAACGCCACGCAGCGGACTGACTCCTCGGACTCCTCGAGGCCTCACTCGGGCTCGGCTATGTCGCCTCTGTTGTTCCGCGGGCGTCGAGAACCGAAACCGGGGTCCTCGCCTTTCCTTCTTCCCTCCGGTCCGTCTTCCGATCTGTGCGGCGGGAAAAAGAGGGGGCGGCGAGCCTCGCGACTTCTTTTCGCCTTGTTCCTTCACCCGCGCCGCCCGATGGGCAGATTTGTCGCCGCGGAAGCAGAATCAGGGGCCGGAGCACAGGCGTCCAGAGAGCTCCAAGCAAGGGCGGGTTCGGCAGGAGATTTTGCTTTTGGAAAAATACACGATGATGGGGGCGGAGATGGTTTGTACACGCGCTCGAGTCGGCCTTGCAACCGCGTCTGTCTGCAGTGACGTCCTTTGTGTTTGGCCGTTTGTTGACTTGCCGGCACGTGATCTCGCCATGGCAACCGAGCGGTCCACTTTTTCTGCCTGCGTGCCTGCCCCCCAAATGCCCCACCGCCAACGCCCCGGTTGGAAAGGACAAAACAACAAACGGTTGGACCGTTCCACACGCGTGACAGCGGGCGGCTCCACCAACGGCCTCGCCAACCACCAACCAAAGGTGATAGGTAGTTTACGCAAATGTGACCCAAATGCCACGACTCTCATTACTTCTGCTACAGTAAACCAGGTCTATAACGATAACCTTCGTGAGGCTTTTTTCATTGTAGTATAGCGACTATCGTTAAGATGCAACTATTATAGGGTTGTATTAGAAATTACTAGTAGAAAGTATATAAAGGGATTATTAGCGAAATTTGCCCTGCTAAAAGGAAATTCAGCCCTACTATAAGGAATTCAGCCCTTAAAGTAGGGCTATATAACGATAAAATGCATAGTAACTAAGCAAAAAGTCAACAATATTATTAGTAATACAACTATTAACAATTTACTAGGGAAAAACCTTAGATAACTGTGAATTATCGTAAAAACCCGAATATCGCTAAGATACAGGATCGTTATAGACATAGTTTACTGTACTTTATCGCCACATTATTCAGTCCAGCCCACTATGTGTCACCAAGTATTCTTGTTTAAATCGTCAATTTAACGGCAAATACCTGTCCTCGTTTCCAGGAGGAGACTCTCATCAGCGCTACAAACTTTCGCCATTGGCGTGCCAACCCAGGCGGAAAGAAGAAAAAATATCAACACCAGCTTCGTTTTTTTCCCCATCAAACTCGGTGCACGCTTCATCCAAACGTATTGTGTCGCGGTGCCACGCACGGCAGGGGCTCAAGCTTCCCAAGTTTCTCCAAACAAATACAATGGCTGTAGACCATCCATCACAGGGCACGCCATGGGTTAAATACACGTTTTGAGAGGTAGTTCCGTTTGTAGATCCAGCCCGAAATAAATAAATGAACAATAAATGTTTTTGCAGGAGTGACGAGCCCGATTGTTGACTTTTTGTGTCCGTCTTGGGATACAAGAGGCAATGAACTCGAAGCCCCAGAGTCGATGCTGCGTCCGGACAGCTCAGTGTAGCGTCTCTCGCCTCCCATCCCCCGAGGTTGCCGTCTCTATGAAGGGTGGATGTCGACATATATAAGTTGATGGATGGTGAGAGGCACCCCGTACACCAAAAAAGGAAACCTGCAGTACGACTGGTCCGCCGGCGTCGCAGTTATCGTGCCGTACTGATCGAGAGGAGAAAATGAGAAAAATTCGACGGTAAAAAGAGTAATGTGGTGGTATTTGATCCAACGCCGACTCCTCCCGTGTCCCAATACAAGTCTCTCCACACTGCTCACTGGCAACGCCAGCAAGACTAAACATACAATGGCAAAGCTCAACACCAACAAGAACGCCAAAGGGCATATAGGCAAAGCACGGTGGGAATTCAGGCCTGGACCCCGACGAATTCCCACAGGCCGTCAACTCCCGTCAGATGAGCCCTCACAGGTACCGGTTGAACTGAATCACGTCAACTTTGCCGTCGGCACGCGAATATATTCCTTGAAAAGGCTCGGGGCTGAAGTGCCGGAAGCGGCCATAAGAGATATCTTGCTGGCGCTGTCCATTATGCAATGGTTGCAAACCCTGCATAAAGACGTCCTGGTGTTTTCGTTTGCCTCCGGTGGGAACGATGGGAGCCACGGGCGGAGGCTCAGTCTGGGCCTCGATGGGAGGCAGAGGAGAGGGAGACACCAAAGCAGCAATCTTGAGCGGAGCGAGGGATGACTGCGACGCCCGGCGAGGTGGGTGTGGCAGTAACGGCGTAGCCGGATATGAATGATGCGAATCCCGCCTGGAAGCGTCCGAATATCTCGACGGGGAGTGTGATGCGTAGTTTCCCAACGTCTTTTCATAGGACAGTTCGTGTTTGACTGATGGAGCGGGAGATGAACACGTAGAGCTCGGGTTGCGCGCGTGAGCATTGTATCCGTAGTTGCCCTGCTCCGGCTTCACGTAAGCGGCTGCGTGACTAGGCGGAGGATATGGTGCCGCAGGTGGTAGTTGGGCGTGTCCATTCGGCTGAGGCGGCGCGGGATAATGTCGCGGGGTGGCGTACTGCGCTGTGGGATGCTCTCCGAAGGACAAATGACCGCTACGGCCTGGCGGAGGAGCAGACTCGTAGCCCGGATGTGGTTGGGGAGTTTGATAGGCATCAGCGGTAGAAGATCGTCGGTGCGGGTCAGGTGCGTAAGGGATCCGGTGCTCGCTCGAGTTACTAATTGATCGGGACCGCATGCCGTGAGGGTCTTCGGGGGCTGGTGTGACGGTCCTACGGCGGTAGTCGTCCTCTCGTCGATCGAATGCACTCGATTTCCCATCGCGCTTCCTCATCCGCACATCGCGTCGAATTCGGACTCGGCATCCCTGATCCGCAACCGTCTTGCTGAGCTGGGTGCTCTCCATCAGGCCAGGGAACTTCTTGGCACTGAAGACGTTGAATGGATTTGTCTTGATTTCCATACGCCAGTCGACACCGGGTGGCAGGTTGGAATGGACGGGCTCGACATCAAAGTCTTTTTCCTCCTTGGTAGTCTCGAACAGACTGAACGAAAGACGAAAGTATCCTTCATGTCGAACAGACAGATCCGGGAAGATGAAGTAACCAGCTTCGGCGGGACGGTCCAGGTACGCCATACCAGAGGCGGGAACGCCGGTTAGAATAGGAGGATTGGTAGCGGCAGAGTTTTGAACTCGGCCATGGGCCATTGTCCGGGCCTGCTCAAGGCTGGCATATAAGAAGAAGTTGGCATTGTAGTCAAAGGTGATGTCCTTGCCCTCGTCCGCCGAAGGGCCCTCGATGATGCGCAGTTCCACGACGGGTGGCGGGTCAACTGGCCGTCTGTCGCTATTAGCTGTGGCAAGTGTCAGCATAGAAAACAACTTGGATTCGACGGCAGCGGTTTGCGTGACGGCGTCGTTTTACGGGCGGATTCGCCAAGGATGCCTTCCACCCGCGGGTGGGAGAGCCGCGTGGATATTCGACCATAAACGACGACAGTCACTAGGGTGCTTTCGAGGGATTCGTCCTGACCTTTCATGCCGGAGCCGCATGCTCTGGCTCGCTCTGGCTGCTGGAGAACGGTCAACTGATACCAGAGTGTGCGATTCTCTCTCGTGACTCGGCGAATGCGGTGCACCGAGTCCCGCGACGGGTTGGTAGGGATCTGCGCAGATGAAGCGGCCATTTTTGCGGCAGCCGTCTCCAGGGTCGAGAAGTTGAGAAGGCAATAGAATTGAACAAGCTTCGCGAATGTTAGTAAATGTCACGGGTAACAGTTGCAGCCCCTCGAGGCTCCATGAGAACATGGACGTCAGCTTTGTACACGGGATGGAAAAGGTTGCCACCCGAGGCGAGTGGAGAGGTCAACGGCTTGGCTTGACTGATCTGGTGCTGGCTGATGGCCCGTTGGCAGGGAAGGCGAAATTATCAGGTGCGTAAGTGTGAGAGTTGGGAGGTCATGGAAGAGAGAACAAAAGGATTTTCGTTTTTGTAAAGAGAAAAAAAAAAAGCTTGCACTCACTGGCACGGTTTGCGTCTGCGAGGCAGTCAGCCAACAGACTGACAAGCCTTGGGCGATGAGCCGGCGAGTTTTGGTGAGAAGCGAACAGCCAAGAGTGGTGGGAAGCTGATGGTCCAACACATTCAGCAGCTTGGTGCAACAATGGGTTCGGTTCGTGTGAAGATGGTGGAGATTTCAACCCAGGCGAAGAGACAGAGACGCGAGGCAAGGTCTTCAATTGCCCAGGTCAGGGCGAGGCGAGTTGCCGCGAAGCAATGGTTGGAACTGTCGTGATGGTTGGAATTGGAGTTGGAGAGGAGGAGAAGGGCGAGCGAGGGGCGAGGACGATGCACAAAGATGTACAGCCGAAAAGCTAGAGCCAGGCTAGAGAGCCAGGACGACGAACCAGACAAGAGGCAAAAGCAGAGAAGCAGGAGGGTGCATCGAGGCCAAGCGACAGAGGAACGAGGAACGGAGGCGCGCAAACGGACGAATCAGAGGCGAGCGTGGAGAACGAATGAACAAAGGTGGTGGTGGGTGGTGCCAGACCCGGGACCACGGACCACGGGCCAAAGGCCAAGGACGGACTGGGTGGGTTGGCTTGGCTTGGCTTGGCTTGGCTCTGGCTGGCGGGGACCCAAGGACCATGAACCAGGTTCCGAGGACGGGGCAGGCAGAACGAAGAGGGAACGAATGGGAGGGCGAAGAGGGCGAGGAGTGCGAGACTGTGCCAGAAACCAAGCCAAAGACGACGACGACAGACGCAGCACGGAGATGCAAAACGCAAACCGTGGCATGGCATATGGAATACTCCTTTGGAACTAGTCCACGCCACCGGTGCGCACCTCGGTCAAGTCAAGTGGCAGGCGCCAGGGCCACCGGGGGACCCAGCCAAGACGTCAACTGGTTCACTAGAGCCGGCCGCCAGAGAAAATAGAAAAGAAAGGCCAAGGCGAGCGGCGATCGATGGGCAGCTCCGTTTTGTGGCGGGCAGCGCAGATTGGCATGGCAGTCAATTGTTGGCGTCTGGCGCACACGGCCACCCCCCCTCCAGCTCCAGGGATGGCGTGGATCTGTGGATTGCACGAGTCGAACCCAAGTCACCCCCGAACGAGCTTT